AAAAAAACAACAACAAATAATATATAGGTATTAGTAATCATTTGTATTCAATTGTTAATTCTAAAGGGAAAAATTATTAGCCACAAAAATATTGGCCATTGATTTCTTCATCTGCCTCTCTTTTCCAATCTCCATAAAATATTCTATAAAAGTAAAAAAAAAGAAAGATTATTCTTAACAGCTTTACTCATAGTAGTAAAAAATAATGACACAGTCCTGTGCCCATTAACATAGAATGGATAAAGAAACTTCAGTGTATCATAATAATAAAAGGCAAGAGGTGACATGTCCTAAAAGACCAAACAACCGGTCACCAGGAGGTACATGGAACACCTCTCTGTCACTCCCCCACCCCTAAACCCTTGTCTGCTCCATCACTGGATGGCAAATGGAGAGCCACAGGGAACTGGGCTGGGTGGCAGTGGAGTAGGACTGGGGATTAGCCAGTAGGTGCAAGGCAGACCTCCTGGTCACTCCCCTTAGCTGGCAGGCTCCAAACTACCCTCAGTTTCTTCTTAAAGGAATATGGCACTTCCACTGCGCAGCTTCCTGAGATGCATACTCACCACTCTGAGAGGCTCTGAGTGGAGACTTAACAAAAATGTTAGCGCCTGCAGCGACCCTCAGCCTTTATTGCTGGGAGGTGGATGGAGAGCATCAGCTTTAAAGCACAAACACCCTCCTCAGGAAAAACCGCCACCTCCTTACTCCATAATTGCTTCTGTGTCTGCAAGAAACTGTGCATGCTCCTCCCTGTGGGGTGGAGGAGGGGCCAAGCCCAGAGGCTGGGCCATTGTAGGGATGGAGGGAGGGAGGGCAGAGCAGGAGCAAGGGGGCAGCCCTGGTTCCCTGCACCTCCACCCACAGGCATAGCCCTTCCTGGTGTTATGATAAAAGGAGTTGTGTTTTTCTAACTGACCAGGTAAAGGAAACAAGTGACTGTTGACTTCTGATCTTATTCTCCCAGCTGCCAGTTAATCCCTCTGGATGCATCATATCCAACCTCCAAAGGATCTGAGGGCAGGTTCAACCTTCATTCCATAGTTGAGGAAACTGACCAATAAACACATATGTCTCATGTCTCAGGGTCAACTCCCATGGAAATCTCCGGGTAATAACTCAGATTGTACATCTAAGGGTATATTTTCTTCTGTTTTCATGTTTAATTCAACCCCAGGAATCAAATAATACAATAAAGAATAAAATGAGTTCAGAGGGCTCAGCATAGCCACATACTAAGGACATGACATTAACTTAGGGGAGGAAAGGACACAAAAGGAATAGAAGATGGAGCCATTTCCATTCAGATTAAAACCAAGTTAACAAGGCAGGAGAAATACTGGATACAGTACTTGGTGTTCTCAACACTGTGAGAGCCCAGGATCCTGTACACAACCTCATAAAAAAAAAAAGCATCCTATTCCCAACTTATTCACAGACTTCTATTTCTGGTATCTATTATTCCCAATGTGTCCACTAGTACAATTGGAAAAAGAAAAAAGATTTGTACGTGATATGACTGCATCTTTAGAAAACCCAAGTGATCACAACCAGAGCACTTTTAACACCTAATGAGCCAAATACACTAATGAACAAAAATGGACCCAGAGATACAGACACATGAACAGACTGTAGAACCTAAGAGGGAAGGCCGTGGAGGGTGGGTGGATGGGAAGAAATCAACCAATGATCTTGTACGCATATATGCATCACCCGGGAACATGGACAATGTGATGGTGAGGACCTGGGGGTGGGGGTAGGCTGGAAAAGGTTAATGGTGGGAAAGGGGACCTATGTAAAACCTTTCAACAATAAAGATTTAATTTAAAAAAGTAAAAAATAAAATAAAATTAAAAAGTAAAACAAAATAAAAGCCAAGAATAACTCCCATGGCCAGTTGGCTCCATTACTTGGAACTTTGTCCTGTACATTGAAAGGTTTCAGGTTTGAACCCAGGTCAAGGTATGTGTGGGAGGCCACTGAGCAAGTGGTGCCTGAAGGAGGAAGGCTTCTCGGACCTAAACACAGTCCAGGCCTTGCCCATGATCCAAAGCCCTACTCTGCTGAGTGAGACCAGACCTTCCAGCTTCCTGTCCAGTCCCTGGTCTCTGAGTCATAAGGCCACTTCCCCACGTTCTCCAAAATGAATTGCTCAGTAACTATCTATACCACATGTGTCAAACACAAGGCCCGCGAGCCAAATCCGTCCCGCCAGGCCTTGCAATGTGTCCCGCACCGCGCTGTCATCACTGCACTCCGCTGCGTTTCCATCATAATGACAGTTTATGACTGTTCAGTAAACCATTCGGCCCGCGATTTAGGCTGGATTTTAGATTTTGGCCCCTTCTCTGATTGAGTTCGACACCCCTAATCTATACTAATAAAAAGGTAATATGCTAATTAGACTGAACATCCTTTAGGACAAAGCCATGGTGCCAGGGGCTCAGTCAGAGGTGGTTAGGAGGATCAGATCAGCAGGGAAGAGCATTTAGGGGTGACCAGGCTGGCATGCAGAGCAGTTGGGGGTTATTAGGTAGGCAGGTGAGCAGTTAGGAGCCAGTGGTCCCGAATTTTAAGGGATGTCCAATTGCCAGTTTAGACCCAATCCAACTCAGGCCTAAACTGGCAGTCAGACATCCCCTGAGGGGTCCCAGGTTGGAGTGGATGCCGCTGGGCTGAGGGACCCACCAACCTCTCATGCATGAATTTTATTAACCAGGCCTCTAGTTTATAAATAAAAGACATAATAATAAAAATAAAGAACTACTGATATACACAATAATAACATTAATGGACTGCAGAAACAATATTCTGTGTGTGTGGGGGGGGAAAAACCTTACAAAGAAAAGACATGTTGTATGACTCCATATGGAATTCTAGAAGAGGTAGAATTAATTTATGATAAAAGTCATTATAATATAGTTGACAGTGTGGATATTGGGGTGGGGACCTAGAAAAGGACAGAAAGGAAATTTATGGGATTATAACTTTATAAAGATTTGGTTACACAAGTGTTTATCAAAGTCAAGCAAATGTACCCTTAGGATTTGTGTATCTCATTTAATGTGAAATTTATATTAAAAGAGGAAGAACAACCATACAATTGTAGTTGTCATATGTATGCTAAAGTAATTATGAAGAAGTATATGGCTATTTCACTTTATGTTGAAATGCATCAAATGGAAGTTCCATTTTTAGTTTTTTGAGGAAACTTTATACTGTTCTCTACAGTGGCTGCACCTATCTCAAGAAACTAGAAACACCAATCAGGAAGGATATATACACCCCTATGGTCATAGCAACACAATTTATCATAGCTAAGATTTGGAAACAGCCTAAGTGCCTATCAGCAGATGAGTGGGTCAAAAACTGGTACATCTACATAATGGAATACTACACTGAAGTGAAAAAGAAGGAATTCTTACCATTTGCAACATCATGGATGGAACTGAAGAGCATAATGCTATGTGATATTAGCCATTCAGAAAAAGATAAATATCACATGATCTCACTCATTTATGGAATATAATGAACAATATAAACTGGTGAACAAAAACAGATCCAGAGACAGAGAAGCATCGATCAGAGGGAAGGTTGGGAAGGATGGAGGTAAGAAGGAGAACTCAACCAAGAGGCTTGTATGCATGCATATAAGCCTAAACAATGGACACAGACACCAGTGGGGTGAGGGAAAAGGTGGGGGTTAGGGGATAATGGTGGGGAGAAGGACACATATGTAATACCTTAATCAATAAAGGAAAAAAGAAAGCCCTCCCCAAAAGAAATGCATCAAAAAATAAGTCAATGAATGGAGAAAGTAATGGATAGATATGTGATAAGTCATGTAGAGTAAAATGTTGACAATAGAATGTTAATGATAAGTATACAGTATATTTAAATATTAACCTTAGCTTTCTATTTTGACTTACATATCATCCCAACTCTTCATTAGATAACTAAACTTAACTGATTATATTTTCATTAAAAATATTTAACCCAAAACAGTCTTTAATAATATTTAAAGTAGTCACTTTAAATTCTTTCTACATTATATATAAAAATTTAAAAATTAAAATGTTGTCGAAGAGATAAATGTTAATTGTATAACTTAGGTGGTATATAGATGGGTTTTTATTGTACAATTATATTTTTCTGTTTGAAAAGTTTCTCAATAAATGTTTATAAAACTATACTGAGATACCTACTTTTTCCATCAGGTTGTCAAAAATCCAAGAGTTTGTCAACATACTTATCAAGACTGAGGGAAAACAAGAATACTCATACATTGCTGCTGGAAGGGTAAAATGGTACAAATTGAGAGGAATATAATAATATCTAGGGGTTCATTTACCCTTTAATTCAGAAAAACCATTTTTATTTATTCTGCTATCACATTTGTACCCATATAAAAGAACATGTATGCAAAGTTATTACTGTTATGTTAATTCTAATAAGAAAAAAACTTGGTAAAAAAAAAACTCAAAACAATCTAACAACCAGTAATTGTTAGAATGAACTATGCTATAACCAAGCAATTCAACATTAGTAAGCTATTTGTAAAAAATAAAGATCTCTATATGCTGACATAGAGTGATATCTAGTATATAATTTAACAAAATGAGTAAAGTTCAAAAAGTCAAAGAGTAGTACACTATCTTTTGATAAAGAAAATAAAATGTATTTTTATGGTTTATATTTGTCTGAAGGAACACTAGAACTAATTAAATAAATAACTAAAAATGGGTATATATGGAATGGGGAGGAACAGAGTGGATGGAGGTGGGGTAAAATGAAGATTTATCAGTGTTTCTTTTGCACATATATGATTATATTTTCTACACAATAAAATAAAACACAAGGATATCAATGAAGGATGGAATAAAAAGAAGTGGCAGCATAGACTTTCTAGTTAATTGGACTTATCGCCCATAAGCTTTCCCAATAGTTTCAATATTTATAAAAGTTAAAAGCAAATTGAGAAGTAGCAATAGGTTCTGTACCTTTTGGTCCAGGTAGCCCATCCAATCCAGTGCGTCCAGTAGGACCTGGAGGTCCTGGGAAGCCACGATCCCCCTTTGGACCAAGTGTTCCTTTGAGTCCTGGAAGTCCTGGAGGCCCTGGTGGCCCATGTAGCCCGAATCCTGGTTCTCCCTAGAGCATACACATAACAAAACACAACAAAAACTCCTATGACTTTTTCAGTATTGATTGTTTACAAGAGAGAATTTAAGGTAGAAAATACAAGGTAATACTCCCACACACACACACCCATGGGTATGGAATAGAGTAATTAAATGAAAAGTTATTGTTAAGTTGGAGAGAACATCTGGAAGGATGGGAAATGAGGCTTAGTAGAACAAATTAAATGATCTGGACTGGTTTCAGGACATGAAAAAGATAACAGAGCGCATGAGACTAAACCTGATTGAGGAAATATGATAATAGACTGAGTATTAGATGGTTATTTTTAATTTGTCTAAGTATGGTAATAACATTGTGGTTTTTTTTGTATAAAATGTCCACTTACTTAGAGATGAATACTAAAGTATTTTAGGTAAAAGTGACATGATTTTGAGATTTAAGTTAAAATATTTCAGCAAAGAAAGAGGGAATAGATAAAGCAAATATGATAAAATCCTAATAATTTGAAATCTGAGTGATAAATATATGTAAGTTAATTGTATTATTCCTTTTTTTATTTGAAAAGTTTAATAATAAAAATAATTAATCAATAAAGAAGTTGCTTCTCATGAGAGATGGTGTCATGGTCAGTAGTTCTTCCCATTCCCATGATGAAAACATAGGAAGTTTAAATTAATTAAGAGGGACAGTTTAAACCAAAAATAGAGGGACAGTTAGGATAAATACACCCCATAGTAGTTTGCTGAAGGTTGACTGAACAAAATTTAAATTGGTTAAGATATAATAAAAAGGAATGAAAAGCAATTCAAACACATTTATCATCATCATAATCATTAAAAGTTGATAGCAGGGACTTGCAGTGTGTATTTGGGAAAGAACTGGGACAGAGGGACAGTTCTTGACATGATATTCAACAGCATTTCAACCAATCATCACAGGAATGTACAGAAACATAAAATGTGTTGGTGGTGCTACAGAGAAGCACAGGGGGATTTGATGATTTGTATTTTTTCATCTATAATCTCCTACCTCATTAAATAATTGGTCACTGCAAAACAGGTTCAAATTTTTTTTTTGCTTCAAATATGATCTCTTGGATTATTAAAGACTGTTTTAGGTTAAATATTTTTTAATGAAAATATAATCAGTTAAGTTTAGTTATCTAATGAAGACTTGGAATGATATGTAAGTCAAAATAGAAAGCTAAGGTTAAAGAAGGCGAGGGAAATAAAAGGAGAAAAGAACAAATGTCTCAGACCTTTGGTCCTGGAGAGCCTGGTGGCCCAGAAGGGCCTTCTAGACCCATTCTTCCAGGTGTCCCAGGTGCTCCTGGAGGTCCTGGAACTCCAGGAAAACCTGTAAAATTATGTCATTTTAAAATCTCCAAATAGAAGACACTACAGGAAAGATACCCAAACTCCCAAATGAACAACGTTTACCTTGTCCAATCAAGCTTAGTGACTACAATAAGAGCTTAAAACCACATGACATTTTAGATGACTACTTAAGATCAAGCTTTACATATATTTGGTATTCCCTCTCAATCACCTTATGGTCCTATTGTTTTCACAAAGGGCTAATATGTGTGGAAAATATGCTCTTCTAAACTGGGATGAAGGCTATTATGAGGCAAAACTGAACATAAGAAATGAATCTCACACAAAAATGCAGAAAGTATTTTCTTTCGCTTACATCTAAATATAGTATACAAAATATCTGCCATATAATCCTGGAAATGAGCTAAAAGCAATTGCAGATATTACACACATATATACACACAAAAAAATCAAATCTGACTCTAAGTCACTTAGTGTGAGTAAGGATATGTTTGGCACTAATCTCAGAAGAATTCACACTCTTGCCATTCATGAGAATAAATTTTGTGAGGAATAAAACAGAACTGAAGCAACAGCTTTTTAAAATTTCAGGAAGTCAAGAGAATATGATTTAGAATAAAGCATTATTTGATTACATGTGTGCAATAAATATGTTTTCTGTTTAATGTAATCCATTTAACAAACATGTATTGATTGCATACTATGTTCTTGGAACTGTTCTGAGCCCTGAAATTACAATGAACACAAAAGATAATAATTACTGTGATTTTTAGAGCTTATATATAATTTTTAAATATCTCTGATTTAGACATTTTCTTGTCTATCTGGACTATTTTAAACAAAGAAAAATGAAATTATATGCATGCTGTGACTTTTTATTTATATTCTTCATAATATAGAGAAAAAGGTTACACTTTATGTATTTTATTATTGACTAAATTATGTCAAAGAATAATGTCATACTAACCAGTTAACTTATCCTGCCTGCTACACATTCCTACATACCTTTGGGACCAGGTGGTCCAGGAAGTCCGATTCCAGGAATACCTGGCTCTCCTTTGCTACCTGGTATTCCTGGCAAGCCTGGTTGGCCTGGGAGTCCAGGATCACCTGAGGAGAGAAGCAATAGTTGTTTTTAAAAGGGAAACCTTCATATAAAGAAGCCAATAAATATTGAAGATCTGGTCAAATACATTATTCACCTACCTGGAAGACCTACTTCACCATCTCTGCCTGGAATACCAGGCAGGCCAGGCTTCCCTGGCTGGGTTATAGTCTGACCTGGATCGCCTTTAGGACCTAAGGGCAAATGGGAATCAACAGTGAATAAGTGTTCTTTTGACTAAATATAGCTTCTAATTAAAAACACAAAATAAAAAGTATAGTCTTTTGAAAATGCAATCTAACAAAAATATATAAGAAAAAGAATCACATACTATATATTCAAGAAAGATACCAAACAGAAGAATGAAATTTCAAAAAGAAAAAAAGTAGATGACAGCTTTCATAGTGAAATATATAGACCTTGCATCATAGAAATATGTACCTGAAACCTATATAATTCTATTAACCAATGTCACTCCAATAAAATACATTTTTAAAAAGCGCCCATGATTAAAGATGGCTTCTATAAAAATATTTTAAATATAGGTCAAAAGAGTCTTAAAGAATAAAATTGAAGTAAACTAATGGTTCCTTAAGATTTTATGTGTGCAAAGTTTAAGTACACCTACTTCTTATTAATTGAAATAGCTTAAAATGGGCTCAGGTTCAGTAAGAATTTCTTAAACATGAAATTAAAAGCACTAACCATGATAGAAAAGACTGATAAATTTGACTACATTTTAATTTATTTCTGTCCATTAAAGATGCCATAGAGTGAAAATGACAAGCCATAGAAAATAAAAAATTTTCAAAATGAATAGCTAACAGAAAGGAACTAATACATAAAATATATAGGGTGGGGCAGAAGTAGGTGTACAGTTGTGAGTATATGAAACAGAGTTTATTCTTGTATTATTATTTATTAACTAGAGTCCTGGTGTATGAAATTTGTGCACGGGGGTCCCTCAGCCCAGCCTGCACCCTCTCCAATCTGGGACACCTCAGGGGATGTCCAACTGCCTCTCACAATCTGGGACCACTGGCTCCTAGCCTACTAGCCTGCCTGATCACCCCTAACCACCTCTACCTGTCTAATTGCCCCTAACTGCTCCTCTACTGGCCTGATCACCCCTAATTACTCCACTGCTGGCCTGCTCGCCCTTAACTGCCTCTACCTCACTCAGTACCCAAGACCCAGGATTCCCTCATCTGGCCAGCTGTAGGCACCAGGACCTGGGCTGACTTTGCCTAGACCAGCTGCAGCCACAGGGGACTGTGGGTGGGTGGCTTCACCCAAGTCACAGACATAGGTGCCCAGGACCATCAGGCAGGTGGCTTGTCCCTCTACCGGGCCACAGGTGCAGATGCAGCCTCTGGCACCTGGGATTGTGGGGCCAGCGGCTTCTCCCTCTAGTTTGCTACAGGTGCAGGCACAGATCTTGGCACCCAGAACTATGGAGTGGGTGGCTTGCCCCTCTCCAGGGCCCCAGCCCCAGCCCCTGGCTCCTGGGACCATGGAGTGGGTGGCTTGTCCCTCTCCCAGGCCAGGCCACAGATGCAGGTGCAGCTGCTGGAACCCAGGACTGTGAGGCATGCAGCTTGTCCCTCTCCTGGGCCGAAGGCACAGTCACAGCCACTGGCACCCAGGACTGTGGGGTGGGTGGCTTGTCCCTCTCTCAGACCACAGCCTGGCTGGTCCCCATTCTTTTCTTGCGAGCTAATTTGTACCTGGCTAGTTGCCATTCCTCTCTCCCCAGTGTTGAGTGTCTGAGCAGTTATGGTGTGAGGGTGTAAGGGCGTGATGACCATTTGCATATTAGCTCTTTATTATGTAGGATTATTGTACTATTTTCCATAGAAACACCTGTATGTATGTGCATACATATACATATGTTTCAAAAATGTTTACATACTTTAACAGCTGATAACTCACCTAATTTTCACTCCTTTTCAGGTTTAATTGATTTGAAGTAATGGGGGAAGTCCAGCTAAGCTTTGAACAAATGAAATTTATCCTAAGGGCCAGTATACTGCTTTTTAAGGGAATACATAATTATAAAGCTTTTATAGTACAAAACCAGCAACAGTCAATAAATTGAAGATGCACAAATAGCAAAGAAATAATTATTGCTGTTTGCAATTCTATTGCTTTGTGTCATCAACAGTGTCTGGACCAGAATATCATCAGTTTGAAAATAGGCATTGACAAATAAATTATTAATTTCTGTAGATTATTTTAAATTTAAAAATTGAACTTTGTTAATAAACAATGACCTTATAATCATTCAAAGTGTGTATACATTTTGTTGGGAGAAAACACTTGAATCAACATTTCATAAAAGAAAATGAAAATATTCAGTAAATATATAAAATGGTGCTAGATTTTAATGTAACCAAAGAGATACAAAAATTGCCATGAGATATTTCAAAAAATTGGCAAAAATACAAAAGTGTGACAATACAAATTGTTTATGAGGATGTAGAGCAATAAGCAATCTCCAATACTTCTAATAGAAATATAAATTGGTACAATTGCTTTGGATATAGTTTGGAATTATCCAGTAATTACATTTGTAAGATGAATTTATTGTATGCCTTGAAAATGCTAATCTTAAATAGATACCCTAGTCCAGGTTCTAACAAAGTATTTCTGTAAAGGACCAGACAGTAAATACTTTATGTTTTGCGGGCCATATGGTTTCTATCATATTTGCCCAACGCTGTGATTGTAGTACAAAAGCAACCATAGTCAATAGTGAATGGTTGTGTTCAAATAAAACTTTCATTCATGACAAAAAAGTGTTTGGCCAGTTTTAATCCATGGGCTATAATTTGCTGATGCTTGCCCCCAGAAAAGTGTGGGCACATGTACACCAGTGTATACACAGAAACATCCTACCTAATAAAAGAGTAACATGCAAATTAACCACCTCTCCACTACACCCAAAAGCCACGCCCACCAAATAAACCCAACCAAGACTTCTACAGCCACAGAGAGCAGCAGGAGAGAGGCTTGGGTTTCCCAGGCAATGAAGGAAGCCAAGCTTTCCGCCTGCCCTTGCTGGCCTAAGCCTCCACTCAAGGCTACAAAGTTTCAATTATAGAAGGTAAATAATTCAAACAGAAATGGTGGCAGCCACAGAGCTGGAAAGATTGGGAGGCTTGAGTTGCCCCCACTGATGGAAGAAGCAAAGCTTTCCACACATGCTGGCCAGCCCAGGCCTCCACTCCAGGCTACAAACTTTCAATTATAGAAGATACATAAGTCCCAAAGGAAATGGCTGCCGGCCATGGAGTGAGCAGGAGGCTTGGTTCTGCTCCAGGCTACAAAGTTTCAATTGTAGAAGGTAAATTCCAGATACCAGGGCCTCTGCTTCGGTAGCCAGGGGGCATGGCTGGCCTGCAAACCACCACAGGCCCTTTGCTAGGCCACCCCAAGCCCCAAGGGAACCCCCACCCTGATCCGGGACACCCTTCAGGGCAAACCAGCTGGCTCCCACCCATGCACCCAGGCCTCTATCCTATCTAATAAAAGAGTAATATGCAGATTGACCATAACTCCAACATACAATATGGTTGCCCCCATGTGGTCAAAGATCCTGCCCCCATGTGGACACAAGATGGCCACCACAAGATGGCCAGCAGGGGAGGTCAGTTGAGAGGCACCAGGCCTGCAAGGAAGGGCAGTTGAGAGGGACCAGGCCTGCAAGGGAGGGCAGTTGGATGCAATCAACCCTACAGGGGTGAGCAATTAGGGGTGACCAGGCTGGCAGAGGAGAGAAATTGGGGGCAAATGGGCTGGCAGGGGAGCAGTTAGACATCAATCAGGCTGGCATGGGAGTGGTTAGGTGGTGATCAGGCTAGCAGGAAGAAGCAGTTAGGGGCAATCAGGAAGGCAGGCAGGTGAGCAGTTGGAAGCCAGCAGTTCTGAATTGTGAGAGGGGTGTCAGACTGCGCTTGAGGGGTCCCAGATTGGAGAGGGTGCAGGCCAGGCTGAGGGACACCCTCCAGCCTCCATGCATGAATTTTGTGCACCGGGCCTCTAGTTATTTATAATAGGTCTGAATTATAAAATAGCCAATTGTTCATTAATGGTAGAGTATATACATCAACTGTGATACACACAGACACACACACACACAGACACACACACACACACACACACAACAAGATACTAATCAGCAATGAAAATGAATATGCTGTAGCTATATGTAGCGTTGACATGAATAATATTTATCTTACAATCCATTAATATAAAGTTCAAAAAGAAGCATACATATAAGAATAACCAATGGACAGAGACAACAAGGGTTGAGAGCATATTTGGGAGTGGGGAGGGGGGTAATGGGGAGGTAAGGACACATATGTTATGCCTTAATCAATAAAATATTGGGAAAAAGCTTAAAATACTTTGTTTTGGAATTCATATTTAGGTGATGACACTAGGGTTTAAATGGAAGGAAACTATGCAAAAGTCAAGACAGTGGTTTCTCTTGGAGAAACAGAAGGGGATATGATTAGGAAAGGACAAAGAGGAAAATGGGGGTTTCTAGGATGCTGGTAATGTTCTGTTTCTTGGTGTGTATGGTAGTTACATGTGTGTCTCCAATATAATTATTTGTTAAACTTTGCATTATGTATCTTGTACTTCAAAAAAACAAATAAACAAACAACAACAACAACAACAAAAACAGCCTGGCTGGAGTTGCACAGTGATTGAGCATTGACCTTTGAATCAGGAGATCACAGTTCGATTCCCAGTCAGGGCACATGCCTGGGTTGTGGACTCCATTCCCAGTAAGGGGCATGCAGGTGACAGCTGATCAATGATTCTCTCTCATCATTGATGTTTCCATCTCTCTCTCTCTCTCTCTCTCTCTCTCTCTCTCTCTCTCTCTCTCTCTCTTTCTCTCTCTCTCTCCTTTCCTCTCTAAAATCAATAAAAATTATATATATATATATATATATATATATATATATATATGATATATAAAAAAAACAACAGAAACAATAAAAATGAAGATATTCAGAAAAACATTTAAAGAGAAACCCACCCATAATAAAAGCACACATATTGTATTTCCTTGCTAAGGAGTTCTGAAAAGCCCAAATATATCTTATGAAAGGAAGTTAAGAGTGGCCAAAGATAACACATTTCTTCTTTTAAGTACCAAATTAAAAACAAAGCAATCATACTCACCTGGTATTCCTGGCTGGCCTGGATTTCCTGCCACACCCTGTATGCCTTTTTCACCAATTGGGCCTGGAGGGCCAATACCAATAGGGCCCATAGGCCCTCTATTCCCTGGGAGACCTGGCAAACCTGGCTTCCCAGGGGGACCTCTTTCACCCTTAAAAGCAATTCCACCCTGAAAGGGAAAAGTTTAATACAGAAAAATAGATATAACAAATAACTCTCTGTAGGTTTGTATTACTGAATACAACTAGAGAAATGATACAGCCATAAATATTTCTTACAAGCTCTATAAGTGCAAGGGTATGTGTGAGCACTTCACTTATTTGTTCCTTCAACAAATATTCTTGAGCTCCTGCTATGTGCCAGGTGCTAGTGATACAGATAAAGAATAAAAATAACAAAACACTTTGCCCTAATGAAGTGTATATTCTAGTATGTAAGAAGTGTACAGTCTATTTAATATTTGTTATAAATAATACTTTCTACCTAAATATTCTGTGCTATGTGTTGCACACAAGTCTGTTTATTTATATTCAACATTTAGGTTCCATAACACATTTAACAATGGATATTTAATCACACTAACCTCTAAGATTACTATATATAAAAGGCATATTAGACTTCTGCCTTTAGGTTTAAATAGACCCAGACAAGGGCATGTGGGGTAATAGAAGGGAACCTTACGTTGACCCACAGCATCTTAACATTTTTTCCACCTATTCATAGTTAATATTACTTAGTATAAAACTGGGTTAAAAATAAAAAATGGATAAAACAACTGAGAGAAAAGAGTGGTAAAGAACCCTACAAAGTACCATTTCTATATAGTAATCATTTTCTTTTAAGCATTGATTAAGTGTTCATTTTCTAACAAGCATATCCTAGGAAACATCCCTAAGTAACAATTTGACATTAGAAAACCAAGAATATCAAACCAACTCACGGGTTCTCCTTTGGGGCCAGGTAGTCCTGGAAATCCATCCTGTCCAGGTGTGCCAGGTATACCAGGGAGACCTGGAGATCCAGGGAAACCCAACTCCCCCTTTTCACCCTTCATTCCTGGAAAAGTGAGGATGTCACCAGGTTCACCTTTAGGTCCAGGAAAGCCTGGAGCACCAGGACCTCCAGGTATGCCCTGAAGGGGTAAAGAAAATAAAGGAAGGGGGTGGGAATGAAAGAGAAAATCACTTTCTTTTTATGTACACACACACACACACACACACACACACACACACACACACATATATATATATATATATATATATATATATATATATATGTTCTATATATATGTATGTATATTCACGATCGACAATGACAGATCGAAATACAAGCACAGGATTGGTGCCAGTGAGAGCTTTATATGTATTATGCATGCATGAGTCAATTTAGCCTTTTATATATATATATAGAATAAACTTGCATAATTAGACCTGCTTTCTGATTTAGCTAAACTTTTCCAGCCCAGTGAAGCATCCTGAATTCTCTTTGGGGTAATTTTCAACACTGCAGTAAATATCAACGTAAGCAGATTATTATTGTAGATCACGCAGGAAGAATAAAGGGTAAAATATTTAACTGCAGCAGTTGACTATATTCTGCACAGTGAGAAAACCTGAAGTCATTTTCAAGGTCCACCATTTCTTACTTCTTTTCAGTTGGGTCAAATTTCTAAGCTTTCTAATCTCCATTTTCTGGCTAATGAAGATAGGATTTCATCAAGTCTCCTATCTTCCTACTCTAGGATTTCTGTGAGGATCAAATGATATGAGGCACAAGAAAATGCTTCACAGACATTTGGTTAAAGTGTAAAATGTTTCCATCTAGCTATAAAGCAAGTCATGTTCCTGAGCTGAAGAAACTCCAAGGGTGCTAGTCGTTAGGGAGAGGAAGCCAGGTGTTGGTACATGACATCATTAACCAGTACCCACAGCGACCATTTCTGGGCTGGGCAGTAGGCCGTATTTTGCGCCATGGTGTCTTGGCAGCATCAGCTGCAATTTGGTGGGCTATTGTTCCGGGGTGATTGCAGCCCACTTGGGGGAAGCCAAGCGTTGCTTTGTGGGTGCCAGGTCCACGGTGCCATTTCTCTGTAAATGGCCAGTGTGTGTCACTGCGGCTCCTGCATTGAGCATCTGCCCCCTGGTGGTCAGTGCACATCATAGACATCATAGCTACTGGTTGGATGGTTGGACACTTATTAGAATATTAGCTATATATATATATATATATATATATATATATATATATATATATATATATTTCAGAGAGGAAGGGAGAAGGAGAGAAAGATAGAAACATAAATGATGAGAGAGAATCATTGATCAGACATATCCTGTAGGCTCCCTACCTGGGCATGTTCCCTGATAGGAAATCAAATTATGACCTCCTGGTTCATAGGTCAATGCCAAACCACTGAGCCAAAATGGCTGGGCTTTTTGTATTTCTAAAACATTCCTTTCTCCAGTTTACCCCATCAACCCACCCAATAACATTTAGTGTACAAATCTATTAAGCGAGTTCTGTGAGTCAGGGAGAATCAAAGAATCAAATAAGTCACAATTTAATAGAGAAACTAAACCTCTTTAATATATATACACAAGTGAAAATCAAAGTGTAAATGGGTTTCTTTAACTTATTTTGTAATATAATATATTCAAAACTTACTCTTAATCCTTTCGGACCAGTTTCACCAGCATGTCCTTTTTCACCCTTTTGTCCAGGAAAACCAAGAGATCCTAACACACACACACACACACACACACACACACACACACACACACACAATAATGTGAGCTTTGAAGTTGAACCATTGACAAAGCATATAAAAATCATTAAGTCAGCAAGCCAAGTTTTAAAATAAGAACCCCATTCAATCCTATTTAACAGGTCACATTTTTGTTTTCTGATTTTATGCTCTAAAAATGAAGAAATCATTCTTCCTTTTAAGTAAATCTAACATTTCATGTTACATACAATATTGGTTTTTCAGGTACTTCCAACTCTAAATCCTCTCAAGAGTTCACAGCTGGCAAGCACTATGCATAGAGGCTCCTTTAACTATCCCGCTGCCAAGGGGAGAAGGAGATGTGAGCAAAGTCTGCATATCTTTCTTTGTTCTGACTTAAGCAATTTTCCTAGATCCTCATCAATTCTTTATTTAGTTTGTCACTCCCTAAATAAAGGTTTATGAGAAACTTTTAGTACTCAATGACTAGACTAGAGGAAATATTACTAAAGTGGGCATTCCCCAAATGGGTCCCTGAATCAGTGGCATCAGCATCACCTGAGTACTGGTTAGAATGACTAATTATATGACCATCATTCCAGATCTACTGATTCAGAAAATTTGGGGGTTGGACCTATCAATATGGGTTATAATAAGCCCTCCAGGTAATTCTGATGAACTCTCAAGTTTGAGAACCATTAAACTGAAGGTACAAGGCTAGATTATTAACTTCTAGTGGCAATTATAAGACTTTCTAAGTACCAAATGAATTGGTTTCCTTGGTAGATACACTGGACAGAGAGGTAAAAGATCTGGTGTCTAGTTTAAGCTCTGACATAGACATAAAGTTTGATTTAAAGATAATATAATATTGAGCTATCCAAGAGGTAGTTGAGTAAAAGATTTGTTGGTCAATGGATATTAAATATAGTTTTGATTAGACACATAAAAATGAAATTACATATAAAAAGAGGAATATTGGCTATTGGTTACCAAACTCCTGTAGAAGTCCCATTCTTTCATGACAACATGTGATATATCCCCAATAACTAAGCTCTACCTCTGGAAAATATACTCAGGGGTCAGGTATTCCCCCAATTTTCTGTAAGAAAGAAGTCTGATGCTATATAAGTAAATTTTCTCACCATATAGAAAATAGGGGAGATATTTTTCCTAGACTAATAACGTCAAGATGTTTTAATAAAAACTGATGGTAGCTTCAGCTATTAGAAACAAGAGCATAACTTATTTCATAGCAGATAGAGGCACTTCATATTTATTTATGAACTAGAGGCCTGGTGCACAAAATTCGTGCACTGGGAGGGGGGAGGGTCCCTCAGCCTGGTCTGCACCCTCTCACAGTCTGGACCCCCAAGGGTTCTTAGTGCTGCTGTGGAGGTGGGAGATGCTCCCACCACCACTGCTGCACTTGCCAGCCATGAGCCTGGCTTCTGGCTAAGCAGCATTCCCTCTGTGGGATAGCACTGACCACCAGGGGTAGCTCCTTCATTGAGCATCTTTCCCCTGGTGGTCAGTGTGCATCATAGTGACTGGTCATTGTGCCATTCGGTCAATTTGTATATTAGCTTTTTATTATATAGGATATGAGTGACTAGCTATAAAATGAGAAATTGGTATTCTGAAGCTACAAGCTCACTAAAACCTAGCCAATATATATTTTAAAATGATGCCCAGAGGCAGGATGTTTTACCTGGAGGACCTGGAAGACCTGGCAAACCAGGTTGGCCTGGAGGCCCTGAAATACCAGTTGCAATACAGTTGAAGCAGGTGTCACCTTTGTCACCTAGAGAAAACCATCATAAAAATATATTACTCATCTACCTTCTTTAGATAGGGTCTAAAGAAGTTAGCACTAAGTAACAATATTGCTACCTAACAGTGTAGTTAGAGAAGCCTATATCTATAACAGATTTCTTTGATACATATTTACTGAGTACCTAGTGTGTGCTGAGCACTGTAAGTGTTTGTGATACACTGGCAAACAGATCAAAGAAAAAATCATGTCTCCATGTTGCTCACAATCTACTAATGGAAAGGGATAATAAATAATGAAGGTAATAAATTATATATATATTATGTTTACAGGAAAATGTAGATCTGGATAAATGGAATTGGACATCTAAGGATAGTTCACAGCATGCAATTTTACATAGGGTGGTAAAGGATAGGCCTTATACATAATAAAAAAATCTTAAAAGATGTGGTACATACACAATAAGTATAGAATATTCTAGGCAAAATTAATGAGACCAGATTTTTGGAGCAGAGTGAGAAAGGAGAACCGGGTCAGAAAGTTAACAGTTTATAATGAGTGGCGTAACATAAAACATCACACAAGCACCATAAATACTGTGGCTTTATGAGTGAAATGAGAATCTAGTAGAAGAATTTAAACTGAAAAGCATCATGATATACCTTAAGATTTAAAAGAAAGATTTTGGCTGGGGTAGAAACTGGGTGACTGTTTATGTGGCTACTGCTGCAGTGATCTAGAAGAAATGACAACTCTCCTAGAGTGACACCAATGAAGATGATGAGAATTGATTTAATTCTGAACAGATTTTACAATAAAATCAATGAGATTTTTTCAAGTGTCACATACAGAATCCAAAAGGAGAGGTGAATCAAGGGTAATGTTAAAGTTTTTAGCCCAAGCAATCAGAAGGCTAAAGTGTCCTGCTTTTAATAAGAAGGAAAATATGTTACTGGCAAAATTATGGGGAAGAAGGTGGTAGAGGTAAGAACAATTTAATCAGGATGTGAAGTTTAAAATGTTAAGTAAACAGTTGAATATACTAATCTAGAGGAAAAGACTTTTATCTGGACAGAAAATATAAATGTAGAAGACATTGGCAAGTAGATAGTATATAAAATCTTGAGAGTTAATGAATAAGCTTAGATGAGAAGAGGAAACAAGGCCAAAAGTCTGGAATATTCCAAAATTAAAAGTTGGGTAGATAATTCTAAAATTTATATGAAAATGTAAAGTAGGCCAAGATAAAGGTATAATAATTTAGTTTGGAATTGGTTTAAGGAGAAAAAGTATAACAATGGAACAAAATAAGGAGGTCATTAACAGACTCATACATAGTCATACGATTTACAACAAAATTTCTAATGCAAGAAAATGATTTTCTTTTGTACAATGGTGTTGAATCAATTAGATATACATATGAGAAAAAATGAACTTTGATTCCCTGCTTCAAACTATATACAAAATTCAATTAAGACAGCACTGGCTGGTGTGGTTCAGTTGGTTGGTCTGAGCTTCTGCCAGGGTTATGGGCTTAAGCCCTACACTTTCATATCAACATTTTCTCTCTCTCTCTCTCTCCCTCCCTCTCTCTCTCTCTCTCTCTCTCTCTCTCTCTCTCTCTCTCTCTCTCTCTCTCTCTCTCTCTCTCTCTCTCTCCTTCCATCCTTCTTACCTCCCTGCAAAATAAATTGAAGATAGACCAAGGATCAAAACACAAAGGCAAACTGGTAAGAGTTCTAGGAAAAAAATTATCAGGTCCTTTGGGTTAGCAAGTATTCTAAACAGGACATAAACAGTACTAACAATAAAAATGACATTAATAATAGGAATTCTTTTATTATAATTAATAACTTCTGTTCAAGAAAAAATACAAGTAAAAAGCAAGGCACAGAATATAGGGAGAAGACAGTTGTGGCTTTGAATAGGAGTATTAACAATAGGCAGGAAGGCAGAATATATGGGCACAGATGCAAGTAGTTGAATAAATGTCATAGCAATCTGAGCAAGTTCTATTTGTTATTGCTTTAAAATGATCAGTGAAGGAGGAAGCAAAGTCAGAATTTTAAAATGAGAATGGAAGAGGAAGTATTAAAAGTATTAAAAGTATATAAAAAGTATTAAAAGTATATAAAAAGTGTTAAGAGAAGATGCAGGCTTATAAGAGGTAGTAATTTGGACTCGCTAGGGCTGTTTTTCTCCCAAGTGAGTACAACGAAGTGAGTGGAGGGTAAAGGAGTCAAGGGTTTATATAATACATGGAATTGATTATAATGAATTGATCATTGCATTTAAGGTAAATTAAGAGGGAAGAAAAAAACACCAAAACTTTGAGTGGTAGTCAAAGTTGGTATGTCTCATTGAGTTAAAGTAATGTTGAAGTCACTTTATTATTATAGTTAGTAAGATAAAGGGATAGAGACAGTGGTCAGATAATGGAGCTGATGAAATCAAGGTTATGGAAGTGTGTACAATTGGAAATAAAACGGTCTTAGGTATTTCCATGGGAGTGAATGGCTGAGATAGGGTAGAGGATATAGGGGATTTTGCTAATGATTTGAAAGAATGAAGGAATAATTATGAAGATCAAACCTTTCACTCCTTGTTCTCCTTGGAGTCCTTTATCACCTGGAGATCCTGGAGGGCCTGGGGGGCCTGGTTCACACATCTCACCACCTGAGATAAGATAATGAAAGGATAACAAATTAATTGTTGTGAAAGGTCCAGAAGACTAAACAAACAAAAAAGCTTGACAAGCTAGAGAAAAAAGACATCTTTTTAGTTACTCTCTGCAGTAATACCACTACCTGTAAGCAAAGGGAAGATATAATATTGGGGAGAATTTGAAGAGCAAATTTAAACCTCAAAGAATCACTAAAATTCAAAAGTAGAAGTTGATGTAGAATCACATAGATAACAGAAACACAAAGAATGATAACGAATTTCAGCCAGATTTACTTATAAGTGAAAACAAAATACAACAATAGAGCTTAGGAGAAAAGAATAGCTTACTAGGAGGGATGTGAGGACCTGGAGGGCCTGGAGGGCCTGGAAGGCCAGGAGGCCCAGGTTGTCCATCAAATCCAGGGGGTCCAGGAATAGAAATTCCAGGTGGACCTTTATCACCTTTCTGTCCCCTTTCTCCAGGAAAACCAGGGAGACCAGGAGGACCCATAATTGCAGCCCCTAAGATTAAAAAAAAAAATTGAGAAGAAACAATTCACAGAGTTAGCATTATTTTGGCTCCTGTCTTCAGAGGTATATTCTGTTGTTTTGTGAGACATTATAGGACGGGGGGGGGGTGGGGGGGTGGGTGATAAAACATTTAAATGATCAAAATTATCTTATTTCAGGGATGTTATTTTAGTGCTCAATGGGACATTAAATAATGATAAAATAGCCTTTAATGTATAATACCTGCTATATTCTTAATGTTTTCTATGAGAATCAATATCTGGAGAAAGGATGAAAAGTTTCAAATACCATAAGTACCAGTTTGTGTGTAAGAAAGAATAATTTAAAGTAGCTTTATTACATTTGGAAATATACTAATAACTCTCTACCTACTCTTCTTTGATACTGTGATCTTTTAATCTTAAAAATACTAGAAAGGCTTTAGAAAGAAAAAAATAGGCATTTCAAAGTTTCCATATGTCTGTTTCTGGACATTCTTCTGTTCTATATATTCCTATACCACTGAAACACTTTTTCATTACTACAGCTTTACAATGATTTCAGAACTGCTAAGGAGGACCAGACCTTTCACTTCTTGTTCTCCTTGGAGTCCTCTATCACCTGGAGACCCTGGAGGGCCTGCTTTGTTCTTTTTACAAACCATCTTCATTACACTTACAAAGTTACTCTTCTAAATAAATTTTACAATCAGCTTGTTAGTTTCATTGTAAAAAAGTATCAGGATTTTGATTAATTTGAATTTAAAGATTAAATTTTGGTAGAATCTTCTATTTATAATATAGTTCTCACATCAAGTAATAATAAAGTATACCTCTCCATTAATTTATTAATTTTATATTATTTAATAACTAGTAGACCATGGCACAATATTGCACATAGTAGGCCGCCCACTGCTTCCACAGGAGCCAGCAGGAAACGCAGAGCTTTGTCTAGAGCTGCACTGCTTCCACGGGAGACGTGCTGCTTCTACAGGAACCATGCAGTTTCTGCTGGAGGCAGAAGCAAGCATGGGCTCCAGGAGGGAGCTGTGCTGCCTCTGTGGGAGGAGGAGCCGCCATCTAGTCTCTGGGCCTGTGCTCAGCCATGGAGGCTGCAGGCCAGTACCCCTATCCACCAGAGGCCCTCTGCAGCTGGGGCATTGCCACAGCGACTAAGTAAGCATAGCACCCAGGCCGCACCATGCCCACTACCCAAAGGCCTTCCATTGCCATGGCAACAAAGCAAGCATTCCACCAGGCCTCTCATACTACCCACTCTCACTGGCACCACTCCCCCCAGGACTGGGGGACTCCGGCTAGACTGAGCGGACTGGGCATCACCCTCTTGTGGCTATGGGCATCACCATCTTTGTGACAGAATGATGGTTAATTTGCATATTACCCTTTTATTAGATAAGATATTTTACAAAATTCTGCAGAAATGCTCTACCTGGTTTGACTCAGTGGTTAGCACATAGGCCTGTGGACTGATGGGTCCCAATTTTTATTCTGGTTAAGGGCACATGCTCACATTGCAGGCTTGATCCTTAGCAGGGGGTTTGCAGGAGGCAGCCAATCAATGATTCTCTCTCATCATTGATGTTTCTATCTCTCCCTCCCTCTCTGAAATCAATAAAAATATACTTTTAAAAAATTCTGCAGAGTTTTAACAAATATTTTGTTGGGTTTATTCATGAGCTAATTACTATTGTCAATTTTACTGCTATTACTATTTTTAACTAGAATTTTTCTGTTATATGTTTAAATTTTTATTGCTGATAAAGAAAAGGCAAATTATTTAGGTATGCAGCTCATTTCTGGCCACCTTGCAAACATTCTAAGTTCTGGTAATTTGTCTTTTGATTATTTCAGACTTTATGGGTTTGTGGATAACCGTTTGGTGTATTTTTCTTGTTCTATCCTTACACCTCTTTTTTTTCTTCCAGACTTAGTGCATTGGCTGTTATCACCAGCATAAGAACAAATAGTATTGGTGGTTCTGAGTATCATTATCTTTTTCTTTTGCTTGATGAGGATGTTCCTGATGTTTCACCACAAAGTATGGCATTTCATCTACAGTCCTTTACTTCCTGTATGAAGTACATAGTTTCATCAAATTAAAGGAGCTACATTTTAAGATTATTTTCCTTTTAACAATCAATGGATATTAAACTTTATTGACTGATTTATCTGTATCTATTGGCCTATTTTCTTTTAATTTATCAGTATTGTCAACTACAGTAATGTTGAACCATCCTTGCAATCTTAGGTTGGCTTAATTTGATAATATTTTTTAGGATTATTTTTTCTGTATCATTAATGAGATTGATTTACTGTATAGTTATTTCTAGTGTCATCTCCTTGGTTCTTTGGTATCAATGCTATTCACTTGAGTTTTCTTTGTTTAAAAATGTTCTGAAATGGTTTTTAAAATTTGAGAATTATATGCTCAACAGCTTGGTAGAATTCATTGGGGAAAAAATCTATAGGAGAGAAACCAAGATGGCGGCATAGGTGAGCAACTGGTCTGCTGCTCCCACAACAATTTAAAAATTAAAACTAATATAAAGGACATCTATCATCCAAAACCATGGGAAGGTTGGCTGAAAGAGAAAGGAGCGCAAGCCCTGAAAAGCTGAGGAGCCTAGGTACGGAGGCACGCAAATCGGGCTGGTGGAGAATCGGGCTGGTGGCGGAGGCATGTGAATTGGGCTGGTGGCGGGTGACTAGGCGCATGGCTTTTCTTTTTAACCCGAAAGGAAACGAGCTCCCTATCACTTTGAAATCAAGTTTCTGGGGTCATGTGGGGGACCCAGACACCTATGGGGAGAAGCTGGTCTGTTGGCCATTGGTCCGAAATGAGGGCGACTCTTACAGAGGTGCACACAGCAATCATTGTTTACTGTGCTGGATTGCAGGGAAGCAGGGACTTGGAAAAGCAGGGGGAGGGGGAGCTGGGATAGCCATTGCTGTTAGCCACACCCCAACTTAGTGACTCCTAAGACCCTGCCCCACCCTGAGGCCCCGCCCCGCCCTGAGATCCTGTCCTGAGGCCCCACCAGCAGATTCTACAGACCTGCCCAGGCACCACACAGCTGCTTTTGCATGTAAATGGCTGGTATTGTGGCAGCTTAAGGAAATAAACTGCAGCTCCAGCAACAAAGCTCCAGCAACAAAACCAACAAGTCCCAAGCAAATGAACTGTACCCCATTGGTGATCCAGAAGCCAGTGTTCCTAGTGGTCAGTTTCAACCTCTCACACCTATAAGTGACACATTCAGGAGACAGACTCAGTGAGCACCAAAGCCCCACTGAAACAAATCATGTCTCCTTTATAGACAGAGCGGGTCCTCACAGACAATTGGCCTGGAGATCAATTCCTCCCAGTGTACCAACAGCAATCAAGGCTTAATTACACCAAGACCGTGCACTCAGCCCACAAAGGAATATACCAAAGCAACCACCTCAGGTGATTGGGGAAGCTGAACTATTGGACCCTATAGGTACCTACCACACAAAGCCACTTCATCAGCCAAAATGAGGACACACAGAAACATGTCACGAATGGGAAAGATGAAGGAAAGTAAATTACTGGATGACACAGAGTTCAGAATCACATTTATAAGATTACTCAAGAATCTTCTAAAAACCTTTGAGAAACTTGATGAGATCTCCAAGAAGCTTGGTGAGACCTTCAAGGACCTTAAAGAGAATACCAAAAAAAATGGAAAAGGACCAGTCAGAAATTAAGCATACAATCTCTGAAATAAAGAATATACAGAAACTCAACTATAGATCAACGTACCCAAGAATCAAACCAAAGATCTGGAATATAAGAAAGGAAAAATCAGAGAGACATAAAGAAAGAAGAATCCAAAAATGTGAGGATAGTGTAAGGAGCCTCCAGGATGGCTTAAAGTGTACCAACATCCGGATTTTTGGGGTGCCAGAGGAGAGCAAGCAGGATATTGAAGGCTTAATGGAAGAAATAATAACAGAAATTTTTCCCTTCCTGGTAAAAGAAATAGATTTACAAGTTCAGGAAGCATACATACAGAACCCCAAACAAGAGGAATCCAAGGAGGGACACACCAAGAAACATCATAATTAAAATGCCAAGGGCAAAAGACAAAGAGAGTATCTTATAAGCAGCAAGAAATAAACAGCTAGTTACCTACAAGGGAGTACCCATACGACTGTCAGCTGATTTCTCAACAGAAACTATGCAGGCCAGAAGGGAGTGCCAAGAAATATTCAAAATGACAAACAACAAGAACCTACAACCAAGATTACTCTACCCAGCAAAGCTATCATTCAGAATTGAAGGTCAGATAAAGAGCTTCACAGACAAGAAAAAGTTAAAGGAGTTCATCAACACCAAACCAGAATTACATGAAATGCTGAAGGGTATTCTTTAAGGAGAGGAAGAAAAAGAAAAAAGTAAAGGTAAAAATTATGAACAACAAAAAGACATAAAATACATACCTACCAACAAGTGAACCTAAAAATCAAGTGAATAAAAAATCTGAAGAAAAAAATGGACTAGTGAATATAATAGAATCAGGGACATAAAAAGGGCTTGGACTAACAATTCTCAGGGGGTGAGGGAAGAGATTGGACAAGAATCTTACACCTATGGATGAAGACAGGGGCGGGGGGGGGGGGTAAGGGCATGGGGTGGAGTTTGGGATCAGGTGGAGGGGAGCTATGGGGGAAGATGGGGGAAAGAGGAACACCTGTAATAATCTGAACAATAAAGATTTATTATAAAAAAATCTATAAAACCAACGTAATACCAATGCTTTCCAATAGAGATCTTTAACATTTCAAAATCTTCTATGGTAATTTATCTGTACTTAGATTTAGAAATATAGTTTCTCTGGACAATTTTGTTAATTTATGTTTTCTGCTTCTTAAGGAATGTATATTTAATCTAGAATTTCAAATAAATTGATATAGCTTTATATTTATCTTACAATTAAAAAATGTATTTGTGCCGAAGCCGGTTTGGCTCAGTGGTAGAGCGTCAGTCTGCGGACTGAAAGGTCCCAGGTTCGATTCCAGTCAAGGGCATGTACCTTGGTTGCGGGCACATCCCCGGTAGGGGGTGTGCAAGAGGCAGCTGGTCGATGATTCTCTCTCATCAACGTTTCTAGCTCTCTATTTCTCTCCCTTTCTCTCTGTTAAAAATCAATAAAATATTTTTTAAAAATGTACTTGTATTTATGGCAATAATCATTTTTTCTTTACTGATTTTATTTGTGCCTTCTCTTGCCTTTATATTGTTTGCTTTATTTTTACCTTTATAAAGTTTTTCATTTTATTTTGTTTGTCATTGCATTCCTTTTTATGCATTTATCTGCTGATGGGCACTTAGGCTGTTTCCAAATCTTAGCTATTATAAATTGTGTTGCTATGAACATATGGGTGTATATATTCTTTTTGATGAGTGTTTCAGATTTCTTAGGATATATTCCTAGAAGTGGGATCACTAGGTCAAATGGGAGTTCCATTTTTAACTTTTTTAGGAAATTCCATACTGTTCTCCACAGTGGCTGCACCAGTCCGCATTCCCACCTGCAGTGTACAAGGGTTCCATTTTATCCACAGCCTTGCCAACACTTGTTGTTTGTAGATTTGTTGAGAAAATCTATAGTAAGAGTGGGGAAGTTTCTGTCAATTAAAAGATACTCTTCTATTGCCATGTCCACCTTGGAACTAATATGATAATGTATATGTGGATTAATAAAGAAGGTACAAATGAGAAAGGATACAAAGACTAGCAGCCTGAATCTGTTAATCAGTACATTCTTGGTAAGGTATGATTAAGTCACTGTCCTTTCTTAACAATCTGGTCTAGCAAGATCTATTTTCCTATTACTCCCAATTTACAATGGGCCATAAACAAACAAAAAAAATATGTAACAGCTTAGCTAGAAGCACTACCCAGGACAGGCATTTAGATAAAATCTAACTTCCCCATTCTAACTGACTCAAGAGGAGCTGTGAAGCTCACCACAAAAGCCTGGTAGTTAGGAAACATAGAAAACAAAGAAACCTAGGGATATACAGTATATATGGGACAATCTCATTGTATCACTTGCTCAGGCTTTGGATCTTTGTATCCCCTGAGCCATCAGCATTGCCTGACTAAAGGTCACTCCTGAAACCTCCGAGTGTTTGACTGTTGCCTTTTTGTGTCAATTCCATAACACAAACACAAGAGTATTAGTACAGTCCCTTTTACCTGGAGGTCCAGGAAGGCCAGGTAGACCCTGTATTCCAGGAAATCCTTGTTCTCCTTTTTCTCCAGGCAAACCAGGTAATCCCATGTTTCCTTTTTCTCCTACAGTTACACCAGTCCCAGGCCTAGGAATTACCTTAATTATAAAAAAAAGAAAAAAAAAAAAGAACTCAAAAAAGCAGAATCTCGTTCTCCAGAAGATAACCTAGTAGCTACATCTGATTATAATGTCATCATTTTCACAAAGTGCTGAGATGCAAAATCATTGACAATAACAAAGATTGAGTCACATTCTATATCACTCCTTCAACTGATTAGAAATCAAAAGCTAGTTATAATATTACCACTCTCCTGAACTCCAGGATTATAAAGCAATCATTATTTTAGATGTATATTGCCTTATAATTCACATTCAGTTCATTGCAATCACTTAAACTAAGCCTGATCAGTTTTTACTGCAAATATCTCTCTAGTTTTCCCTCTTCTTTTCTGTTGCCATAGTTACTATCCTTACCTCAACTTGGACTAACAGAAGCACCTTAGAATTTTTCCTCTTGAATCCAAATCTATTGGTAGGATATGCTTCCTCAAAACCTAATTTTTCTGTTTTTAAGGACTCAAAATTGTTCACTACTTCTTACTATAACTTATGCTACTTTTAACCCTGTACTCTGTCAAGTCACTTTTTACTTCCAATACCTTTCTTACCTTTTTCATCTCCAGCTATTACTAGTGATGAATTTTTAGTAGAGTGAGGTCTATCTGATTATAACCACTTCATACAACTTGTACATCCTTGTTTTTGCTTTTGAATATGCCATTTTATTTTTTATTTTTAATGTGCCATTTTAAACATCAATAATGCCTTCTTCCAACCATTCCCTTTATTAACCCATTTTTTTCTTTCTCTTAAAAAAAAAGAAAAAGAAAACTTATCTCTTCTAGGAAGACTTTATTGATTAAAATCAATGAACTGACTACTCCTTTTTTTTCTTTTTCCTTAAAACCTTAGCAACTAAAGGATTTCATACTAAATAAATACAAAGAAATTAAGCTCATAGAGTAAAGGTTAGTAAGCTTTAGATTTAAGAAAGTATCCATCCAAGGTACAAATCAACACCTATTGGAAAAGTGTGATTTTTACTGGTATAAGAAACATTCAGACAAAAGAACACTGAAAGTTGTGGGACCTAGAATTGGGATAGCAATTCAAAGGGGAAAGTGAGATGCTGGAAAGAACTGATTCTCAAAATTTCCATGTCTTCTGATCTTCATCAAAATTTTATCATCTTATTTGATAAAGAAATGATTTCTTAGAGTACTAAAACTGATTTTAAAATTAAAGTGAATAAAATTATATAATATTTAAAAATCTATATCCTCATTAGATATCCCCCTATAAAAGTATATACCCCTTAGTTCCTAATAAGGTACTAAGTATCAATATTTGAAGCTCACTATGGGAAAAAGAATATAATTATATCTAAGTACATAGGTTTCGTGGCACTTGCATATTGCATATTTAATACAGTTTAAAGTCAAGAGTCTTACCAAATTTCAGCCAAAGAAAAACCAATCTATTAAGTTGCAACATGATATTTTATTCTTAATAAGATGAAAATATATTTTATTTAAATTTCATGTTGGATGCAAACATGACAAAAGATGTGTAAATTCCCCAATTATTGTTCCATGAAGCAGTTTGCTACATTTGTTATTAAAGGTCCCTAGAAGCACACACTCAGGGGGAAAAAGAGGTGTGACTCAGACAATTACAAATTGAGAAAACCACCTTAGATCAAATTCTTCTTTATTTTGAGCTTTTCAAGGGAAATGACTAATTCCTAGTTCCCCAAGTTTCTTTTATTGAAACTTTGTAAGCAACACTTGCACCACCTGCTGGTTACTTGAAAAATGATTTGGTAATCATGATGCAAAACAACCGAATCTCATAATTTTGGAACTTTACTGTGGAGACCACAGACAGAACAATACAATGACTTTGAGGTTAGCATCACTAACATTTTTAGATGTAAAGATTTTTAAGAGAGTAGAAATTGATAATGACTTGGAATTTTGTGTTCTATTAGGAAAGGGTACATAGTATATAATTAAGGTACAAAAATGAAAATTCATTAATACATTTGATAAATGAAGACTAAAAATACTTACAAGTCCAGGAGGGCCAGGTGGGCCAATGTCACCTTTTTGGCCCTGTTCAATACAGTTTTAAAATACGTTAGTAAAAGTCACATTGAAACATCCATTTCTTAAAAAACATAACAGATAACTAAGATTCATAAAGTCCCAGAAATCCATAATAAAATATATAAAAAACTATATCATGAGGTAAACAAAACAGTAGTGACCTAAGCCTAAGAAGACCTGTGATGCTGTTGCAGATTTACTAACTATACAATCTTGACCAAACAATTTATCTGTCTTATCTATAGGACAGGATACTAAAATATTTCTAGCTCTAAATTCCTTTAATTTTAAAATTCATATTTTCTAAGAAACTTCAAATATTTTATAAAGAAGATACTAAATAAAAAATCTGTACCAATATAATTAGTTTAAACCATTACATATTTATATGTTTAGTCATGTTTTCATAAAACTTGTCAAGGTCATAAATTTAGTGTAGTTTCCATTATTGACAGATATATTATAGCTGATGGACTTAAGTATAATCAGGAATAGCCAATAAATCATAATGACTTTTGTGACTCTGCTCTTAGAAGTTAATGAAAAATAAATTCAGACAAAACTATTACCCTTAACCACTAGCTAAAGCAGCATGAAGAACACAGTATTCAATTTTTACTCTACTGGCCAAGACCCAAGAATAGACTTCTCTCCCACAACTCTACTCTTGTTCTAGACTTGTTTATAAAAACCTATCTATAAGCTTTTTTTTACTTTAAAAAGCTTTTCTGTCTTAGTCCTGGCTGGTGTTCCTCAGTTGGTTGGAGCATTGACTGTACACCAAAAGATAATAGGTTCAATTATCAACTAGGGCATATTTGTTCTCCAGATTACAGGTTTGATTGCTTATGGGAGACAATCAATGTTTCTCTCTCAAGTCAATGAAAAAGGTTACTCTGTCCTATAACTTTTTACTTAATACTTGAAAAACAACCGTATTCTCTGAGTATATGTAATTTCCTTTATTCTACTTGTACCTCTTCAAAATAAAACTCAGATATAATTTTGAGATAAACCACCATTTAAATAGTGCCATCAGAAAACATTTTAGTTTGTAATACCGTTCCTGCAAAACAAAGTTTTTCAGTTTGGGTTTTCATACAAAGCAATTAGAGACCATAGAGGTTAGAAAACTGGATATTTTGTGATCTGTTATATATATGGAAATTGTGTACTTCATACATGCTTTAAAAACCACTTTTAAAATAGGCAACTAAATAAATTTCTACAGTCAGGCTGCACAGCCAAATGAAAGAAAAAACAGCAAAGAATTAGTCACAGACTTCTAGACAATAATTGCATAAAGAATGGAAATGTTTTGTGAAGACATTCTAAAGTCATAACTATAAGCCTTTTAATAGGAGGACCTTACTAAAATAGTGCTGAATCTTCTTTCTGGAGAACAAAAGTTTTGCAGATACATATTTAAAGTAAAGGCATCAACTTTTCACAATGAAAATGCTAAAATTAAACAGTTCTTCATGGACTGTAATTTAGAACAATGGATGAAAATTCAGAGAAAGTGTTATTTAAAAAAAGAGGGCAACAACAAAAGATGAATAAAAAAATGTATGTTTTGAATACAAAAGCTAGTTATTTAGAACTTTTCATTTATAACTCAGTTTTGGGAGATAAATGATTTATTATTATAACTAGGATAAAATCAGTCACTTAAAATTATTAAAAGTCTTACCTTTTCTCCAATCTTTCCTGGTTCACCAGGATAACCAGGATCACCAGGCAAACCCTTTTAAAACATAGAGGACAGTGTGACATTGGCAAAAATGATGAAGTAAAGGAATCTCCAAATCCTCCCTCCACAAAAAAGAAAATAAATAAAATAACTGGAGTCAACCCTTTTAAAACACTAGAAATTAGCCAAAGGCTTGCAGCCATCCAGGAAACATTTATTGAAAACAAGTGACATTTATTTTATTTATAATATATTTAATTGATTTTTTTACAGAGAGGAAGAGAAAGGGATAGAGAGTTAGAAACATCGATCAGCTGCCTCTTGCACACCCCTTACTGGGGATGTGCCTGCAACCAAGGTACATGCCCTAGACTGGAATCGAACCCGGGAGCTTTCAGTCTGCAAGTCAACACTATCCATTGAGCTCTACCTGTTTCAGCACAAGTGACATTTTAATTTACTCTATCTACAATATTTACATCATCCCTCCTCAGCTTTCCAGGAGCTTCAAAAACCAATAGTATTTAATCAAGGTTAAAAACAATAGCCTGGCAACAACTGGAAGAAAAAATAAACTGGGTTGGAGCTTCTTCAAAGACCCTTTCCTATAGAAGTGTCACTTGTATGGTGGTTACCCAAAAGCCCCACTGGCAAGACCCCACTACCTTTGTTTTACCTAATTTGAGTTCTCCCAATACAGAGAACAACCTTTTCCCTAGGTATAACTATAGAAAGCAATTGGGCAAATTGCTGAATATCATGGCTGCTAATCATTAAACAAAGACAAAATGTTCCAAAAGAAACCAGGAACTGAGGCCCTGAATTTGCCTCCTCTAACACCATTTTATATGTTTAAGCCATTTGTGAATCTGCAATTTATAAATTGAGGACTGCCTGTTCAGCAAAATTACCTGTAAATAAATTTGTGTGATTTTATTGCTTCCAACTTCCACTCTGATTAGGAATAATCCCTTCCCTTTGACATTGTCTCCATATGTCATCAAATTTCCTCTCTGTCCTTGAAAACTTACTTTAATACCTACTGTGAGTACTCTTAATATTAAGGGTGCTTGAAATAATGTTCCTGAACTGACATGTTTTAAATGTTTCTCCACTTTTAGTAATTTGAATAATCTGTTAAAACTTTTACTTAGCTGAAACCTGTTTGGCTCAGTGGATAGTGGATAGAGCTCCAGCCTGAGGACTGAAAGGTCCCAGGTTCGATTCAGGTCAAGGGCATGTACCTTGGTTGCGGCACATCCCCAGTAGGAAATGTCCAAGAGGCAGCTGACTGATGATTCTCTCTCATCAATGTTTCTAACTCTCTATCCCTCTCTCCTCCTCTCTGTAAAAAAAAAAAAAAAAAAAAAAAATCAATAAAATATTTTAAAAACAAACAAACAGACAAAAACTTTTACTTAAAAAACTTATGTTCATACAAAAATTTGTAGGTGAACGATTTTAGCAATTTTATTCATAACGTCCAAAACCAGAAACAATCAAAATACTCTTCAATGGGCAAATGAATAAGTTTGTCTTGCTATACCTATACAAACAAATATTATTCATCAATAAAAGTGATTGAACTATAGATATGCAAATGAATACTAATGCTATGTAAATGAATAGTAATTTAAAAGGCTATGTACATAAAAGTGAAATCATGTTGTATTTGTCTTTTTTCTGTCTGACTCGTTTCACTTAGCATAATACCTTCTAGGTCATTATGTGGAGTCTAAAAAGCAAAATAAGTGAATAAACAAAACAGAAAGACTCACAGATACAGAGAACAGAGTAATAACTATGTATGATGCTAGTGAGTAATTTAAGTATTGGGAAGACCACTTTGTAAACTATACGATTGTCTAACTGCAATCTGTATATCTGAAACTAATACAAAATAATATTGAATGTAAACTGTGTAATTGAAAAATAAACTTGGAAGTCTATATATAATATTATTCCATTTGTATGATATTATGGAATAGGTAATATTATAGGGATAAAGAACAGATTAATTTTTGTTGGAGTCTTAAGTTGAGATGGAAAGGATGAGATGACTATGAAAAAGGAGTGTGAGGAAACTTTTGAGGATGATGGAATTGTTTTTGATTATAGAGTTGGTAACACAGATGTATGCATTTGTCAATACACACACAACTATGTTAATAATGATTCATTTTACAGTACAAACATTATATCTCAATAAATCTGACTAAAAATCTGGCTTAAACATACGTGTGTGTGTGTATACACATATATACAATGGAATATTACTCAACAATAAGAATAGATGAAATACTGCCATTTGTGACAACATGGATTGATCTTGAGACTATTATGCTAAGCAAAATAAGTCACACAGAAAAAGTCAGGATCCATATGATTTCATTGATAAGTGGAATATAAAACAAAAAGCAATAATGAACAATGAAGACAAACAAAAATCAACTCATAGACACAGACAATAGTACGATGGTTAACAGAGGGACTGAAGTTTGGGGAGGTAGTAAAGGGTAAAAGGGTTCAAATATATAGTGACAAAGAGAAATTTGATTTTGGGTAATAAATATACAATGCAATATCTAAATGATGTATTATAGAATTGTAGGCTTAAAACCTACATAACTTTATTAATCAAGGTTACTGCAATCAATTTAATTAAAAAATAAAATATAGGGAGGGAGAAACCAAGATGGCGGCATAGGTAACTGCCTAACTGCAGCCTCACACAACAATTTCAAAAAATACAACTAAAATATAAAGTGGACATTATCCAGAACTACAGGAAAGTTGACTGACTGGAAATTCTACAATGAGAAGGAAAGAGAAAACCAGAAGGAAAATCACAGGAGCTGTATAAGCCTAAGGTACGGAGACACGTTGCGTGCGCGGAGAGGACGGAGCCTGAGAAGAGGGGCAGCTGAGTGACTGGCTGGTGTTCCTTGGTGGGAAGGAGATAAAAGCCCTGGACTGTGCTGAACCCCAGTTCCGACAGTACTGAAAGCCAGTTCTGAGTGAGACCCTGTGGATGCAGACACATACAGAGGGAATCAGGGCTGTAAGGCGGAAGCTCAGGGAAGTGGCGAAAGGCAGAGCCCCGGAGTCAAGCACATTGTGAGCAGAGGACTGACTGTTGACTGTGCTGCTATTGTAGATTGCCCTAGCAGGAAGAAGAGAAAAGCTCCAGACTGTGCTGAGCCCCAGTTCTGGGCAAGACCCTCGGGCCCCAGGCTCATACAGAGGGAATCTGGGCTGTAAGGTGGAAGCTCAGGGGAGTGATGAAAGGCAGAGCCCCCAAGTCACGCACATTTCGCGCAGAGGACACTGTTGATTGAGCCACTGGATTGCCCTAGCGAGAAGGAGACATAAGTTCTGGACTGCTCTTAACCTCACTTCCAACTGCACTGAACCCTAGTTGTGGGCTTGTTGCGGGAGAGAATAGTCTGTTTGATAGCGGGCGAAACTCTAGGCCACCTTTCTCTCAGAGGTGCTTGCAGCGAGTACCAAAGGACACTGAGGAACACTGAGACTCAGGATCCTCATAGAGCGGGGCTAACCAGAAGCCAATGCTGTAGGCTCCACCCTGAAACTCCACCCCATTCAAGCTGAGCACAGAGGCTCTTGCAGTTTTCCAAGTCTGGTCGAATAAGGCTGTCTCCTGGCATAGATACAGCTGATCCTCCCACCCTACTAACTCAGGGAAGCAGCGAAAATGCCTAGACAAGGAAACAGATCACAAATGAAAGAAATAGAGGCCAAAAAATGACTGGATATAGAGTTCAAAACCACACTTACAAGATTTTTCAAGAATCTCCTAAAAAAGGCCAATAAAGTAAACAAGACCTATGAAGATATGAAAAGGGATCAACTAGAAATAATAAAGGATCAACTAGAAATAAAGAATACATTCTCTGAAATAAAAAAATATTATACAGAGTCCTAAAAACAGAATGGAAGATTGCAAGAATCAAGTCAAAGATTTGGAACACAAAGAGCCAAAGGACACTCCTCCACAGAAGCAAGAAGACAAGAGAATCCAGAAAGTTGAAGATAGTGTAAGAAACCTCTGGGACAACTTCAAGCGAACCAACATCAGAATTATGGGTGTCCCAGAAGATGACAGAGAGCAAGATACTGAAAACATATTGAAAGAAATAGTGAAAGAAAACTCCCCCCACCTGGTGAAAGAAATAGATTTACAAATCCAGGAAGCACACAGAACCCCAAACAAAAGGAATCCAAAGAGGACCACACCAAGACACATCATAATTAAAATTCCAAGAGCAAAAGACAAAAAAGAGAGAATATTAAAAGCAGCAAGAGAAAAGCAGGTAGTTACCTATAAAGACGCACCCATACAATTGTCAGCTGATTTCTCAACAGAAACCATGCAGGCCAGACGGGAATGGCAAGAAATATTTAAGGTGATGAATAACAAGAACATACAGCCAAAAATACTCTACCCAGCAAAGCTATCACTCAGAATCAAAGGCCAGATAAAGAGCTTCACAAATAAAAAAAAAGCTAAAGGAGTTCATCACCACCAAACCAGAATTATATGAATTGCTGAAGGGGGTTCTTTAGGAAAAGGAAGAAAATAAAAATAAAAATTATGAACAACAAATATGTAACTATCAACAAGTGAATCTAAAAACCAAGGGAATTAAAAAGCCTGATGAACAATATTAACTGTTAAATATATTAGAATCAGAGGTATGGAACGGGAGTGGACTGACAATTATTGGGGAAAAGAGGAGTGGGGGGGTGCGGGAAGAGACTGAACATAAACTATGCACCTATGGATGCAGACAGTGGGGGGTGAGGAAAGGGCAGAGGGTGGGGTGGGAAACTGGTGGAGGGGGAAAAATGAGGAACTTTTGTAATAATATGAACAATAAAGATGTATTAAAAATAAAATAAAATATAGAATCAGATTTTGGTTATAAAAAATCTGACACAAAAACAGGAATTTCAAATTTATGTTCAAAAGAAAAAGAATAATTTCCATTCATTTAAACTATTCTAAATATAAGCCTCTTTGCCATCCTGCTTCCTGACCTTGCCTTTTTCTTTTTTTTTTTTTTTCTGGGGGATGGACTTTACTCACTGGAATTCCTGGCTGGCCATTCTCTCCATCTTTGCCTGGTTTACCCTATAGAATTCAAAGAAATGCAAAAATATGAACTTGTTATTTAGGAAGTATGAGGTTAAAGAACATAACAACCTTTATTCCTGACTTGGACTATATTAAGTAGACTTTTTTGGACTTCAATATTATAACAACACTTAGATAAAATAATATTTTATGTATTCAATTGTGACTTTTTGAAGCAATGAAAGTAGGACTTAAAGAGAAAGAATAAAATTATACTCATATATTTAAATATTTTTGCAGAGTATTAGTAATTATAATACTTACTCTTTTGCCAGGGTCTCCTTGTTCACCCTTCTCACCTTTCACACCACCTGGAGGGCCCTGGACACACAAAAATAGTTTCACATTGGTTCATTGAATACTATATATTAATACCAATTTACATTAAATGATGCCAAAAAAAATTAGGTTACTTACTGGAGGACCACGCATCCCTGGAGGTCCAGGAGGCCCTCGTTCACCAGGAATTCCCTATGTAATAGTAGAAGAAAGGAAAGCACGATTAATACTGAATGATTAATAATGTTAATGCTACAACAAGCTTAAAATGCTTTTATGAAGCTGAGCTATAGACTCATGTAGTATAACCAAGGATAACAAGATGTTTTTAATTCAAAGTTAAAATCTGCTAGGCAAAGGGATCATCTTTTTCACTTCATTTAATTTTTAGTGGATGGTCAAGCCAAGTTTTGAGATAAATAACAAGACATCACTTAAAATGAAAGTATTAATGATTTTTAAAATTATATCTTTTTTGTTGAAAGTATTATAGATGCCCCCCCCCATAAATGTAATCTTACACTTTAAATGGATGGATTATATGGTATATATATATATTACACATCAATAAAGTTCTTTAAATATTATCTCAAATCCTTGTTATTTTTAAAATAATCTAATCACATTAGAGCTTATAATGCATTTTAATGGAATGACACTTTTATAGCAGATGCTCTCCACACACTCACCTGATCTCCTTTCTGAAATTCTACATCAATTGGTCTTTTCTGTTCACTGATCTGCCCTGGTGGCCCAGGAGGGCCCTGAAGACCTTGCTCACCCTATTTGTAAGATAAAATAAGAATATTATATTTCATAATTTAAACAAAAAAAATAACATAACATGTAAGCAAAGTGACAAGAGGCAAACTGACAAGTTCAAATGACCATGAAAGGAAAAACTTGGGGATGAATGATCTTCTTTTATCTTTACTCACCTTTTCTCCCTTGGGTCCTTGAAAATTTAAGCCCATATTACCCTAAAGAGATAGGTTTCAGATTAAAATTTCATTGACAATAACAAAAAAATCCACACCAAATAAAAGATGTAAAGAAAAGGAAAATACCTTTAGTCCTGGAAGTCCTGGTGGACCAGGAGGGCCCTAAGAATAGAAGACACAGAAAAGGAAACAAGTGTTATATTAATGTTTATTTTAAAATTACTTTGTTTCATAAAAATTGAGCTCTCTATCTCTCTCTCTTCCTCTCTGTTAAAAATCAATAAAATATATTTTAAAAAAAGAATAAAAAATAATTTAAAAAAACAAACTTTTTTTGATATAATATAAACGAATGTGTTGGTACCTGTTTTGTCAGGTATAATATTTGTTCTGCATTATAGTTCTTAATTTATTTAGAATTTTGTGAAAGATGGCATAGTTTTATTGACAAAAACAATCATTTTTAAAATTTTCTTTTATTGTATAAAATATTAAATATGCCTCCTTTCCCTCCAGTTGATGCTCTCCCCCGGTCACTCCTACCCCTGAGGGCAAGCACCACTGCCCCAGTGTCTGTGTCCATTGGTTATGCTAATACGCATACATACAAGTCCTTTGGTTGATCTCTAACACCTTGCTCCCCTGTCCCTTATCTCTGGATCTATTTTTGTTCATCAGTTTATGTTGATATTTATATCCCACATATGAGCGAGATCATGTGATATTTATCTTTCTCTGACTGCCTTATTTTATTTAGCATAATGCTTTCCACTTTTCCAGTTCCATCCATGCTGTTCCAAATGGTAAAAGTTCCTTCTTTTTTTATTTTATTTTTTTCATTTTTTTATTTTTTATTTTTATTTTTTTTTATTTTAAAAATATATATTTTATTGATTTTTTACAGAGAGGAAGGGAGAGGGGTAGAGAGTTAAAAACATCGATGAGCTGAAACCGGTTTGGCTCAGCGGTAGAGTGTCGGTCTGCAGACTGAAAGGTCCCAGGTTCAATTCCGGTCAAGGGCATATACATTGGTTGCGGGCACATCCCCAGTAGGGGGTGTGCAAGAGGCAGCTGGTCGATGTTTCTCTCTCATCAATGTTTCTAGCTCTCTATCCATCTCCCTTCCTATCTGTAAGAAAAATCAATAAAATATAAAAAAAGAAAAAGAAAAGAAACATGGATGAGAGAGAAACATTGATCAGCTGCCTCTTGCAAAGCCCCTACTGGGGATGTGCCCGCAACTGAAGTATATTCCATTGACTGTAATCGAACCTGGGACCCTTCAGTCCACAAGCCAACGCTCTAACTACTGAGCAAAACTGCTTAGGGCAAAACAGGGTTTCTTTAGGCACATATCTGCCTGAAAGTTGTGAAGGTAATGAGTATACTGATCTCGAGGAATGTTCATGCCCTCGAGTGGCCCTTTGCTAATAAAGAGTAACTGGTTTGCGACATTATCTCATCCTCCCTTGGCCGACATTTGACCATTTGACTCTGGGGGAGGGAGGGGATGTATGGGAGGGAGGAAGGGGGGCAAAAAAAATCAATAAAATATGTAAAAAAAAATTTAAGGAGCCTAAACTATACTGAAGTCAAACATCACACTTAAGCAAGACATACAATCTGTGACACATTTCTGTTTTGTAGTCAAGACTATGGTCATTTTTTTAGTTTTTTAAATATTTTTATTAAATTATTATCTGTGTACATATTTTAACATTGCCCCCCTATACATACCCTCCCTCCCCAGAGTTTTGTGTCCATTGGTTTTACTTATATGCATGTATACAAGTTCCTTCTTTTTATAGCAGGGTAGTATTCCATTGTGTACACCACAGGTTTTTAATCCACTCATCTGCTGATGCGCACTTAGACTGTTTCCAAATCTTAGCTATTTTAAATTGTGCTGCTATGAACTAGTGCATATGTCCTTTCTGATTTGTCTTCCTGGTTTCTTGGGATATAGTCCTAGAAGTGGGATTACTGGATCAAATGGGAGTTCCATTTTTAACTTTTTGAGGAAACTCCATACTACTTTCAACAGTGGCTGCACCAGTCTTCATTCCCATCAACAGTGAAAAAGGGTTCCTTTTACTCTGCATCCTTGTCAGCACTTGTCCTTTGTTGATTTGTTGATGATAGCTATTCTGACAGGTGTGAGATGATACTGCATTGTTGTTTTGATTTGCATCTCTTGGATCATTAGTGACTTTGACATGTTTTCATATGCCTCTCCGAGCCTTCTATGTGTCCTATTTAGAAAAGAATCTATTTAGGTCTATTGCCCATTTTTTGATTGGGTTGTTTATCTTCCTTTTGTTAAGTTGCATGAGTTCCATGTAATTTTTGGAGATTAAATCCTTATCAGAGATAGCATTGACAAGTAAGTTATCCCATGCAGTGGGCTTCCTTGTTTTGTTGATGGTTTCTTTTGCTGTGCAGAAGTTTTTTATTTTTATGTAGTCCTTTCTGTTTATTTTCTCCTTAGTTTCCATTGCCCTAGGAGCTGTATCTGTAAAGATATTGCTATGACATATGTCTGATATTTTGCTGCCTATGTAGTCTTCTCAGATGTTTATGGTTTCTCCTCTTACTCTTAAGTCCTTTAACCATTTTGAGGTGTTTTGTTTTTTTATTTTTTATTTATTTTTTTTTTTTGTGTGTGTGTGTGTGTGTATGGTGTAAGTTGGTGATCTAGTTTCATTTTTTTGCATGTATCTGACTAAATTTCCCAACACCATTTATGAAGAGACTGTCTTGACTCCATTGTTTGCTCTTGCCTCTGTCAAATATTAATTGAGTATAATGGCTTGGGTCTATTTCTAGGTTTCAAACGCAATCTTAAAGCTATGTGCATACAAAAGCAATATAAAGTTTTGACTAAATATTTTATAATAAAACTAGAGGCCCAGTGCACAGAATCTTGCACTGGTGGGGTTCCTAGGCCTGGCCCATGATCAGGGCTGATCTGGGCCTTCCAGCTGCAAGCCGGGACCCTCCTTCCCAGGTTGTTGGATGCCAACTGGGGCCTTCCTTTGTTCCACGCCACTCTGGTGGTCAGCGCACATCATAGCAATTGATCATACCACTGATTTCCTAGTCAAACTCCCAAGGGGACAATTTGCATATATGTATTTACATTAGCAACTATCTTGAGAATTCAGGAAACTAGAGTGGAATTTAAGTTTTCAACAGTTTTGTTAAACCTAGAACCATGAAAAAGTATTCCAAAGAAAATCTGAAACTTCATATCTTGGGAAAACGATGGTACATTAATGAAAATTGAGGATAGATGATTTAAATATAATACTTGATTTTTTAATAGAAAGAAAAGTAGAGAGTAAGAGCCTTACCCTCCACCCCTCGCAACTTGGTAGGGGCCTGAACCTTCATCCCTTCTGAGGGAGGTCTCCTTCCCCCATGGCTGATTTGCTTCCCATGCACAGCACAAATCGGGACCCAGGTAACAGACAGAGACTTGGCCGCCCTCTGACTGCAACAAGACTTGTTTGAGATGTCTTGTAACCATGGTGTGTGGAAGTGGATTTTTGATATCCAAATCCAGCCTAGTACCAGGAATGCTCAAGGCCTACTCAAGAAGGCAAATATCCTTTCCACTAATACAAACAAGGTAAAATAAGATTGTTGTTAGAGGGTTGAGTTTGACAGTTGAATAGCAGTCAATTTCTTAGAGGAAGTTAAATTGGCTAATTGAAATAAGCAAATATTCTAGAAAAATTGATTGTACTATACAAAAAGCTGTTCCTAAAGTGTTAACAAAAATTCCTATTGGTAGTTCATCTCAGGGTAAAATTGGGTAACATGAAATCAACCTAGATCAGTCATATTTTAGTGCAAATAATTAAAATGTAAAAGCTATCAAGACTACATTACAAAATTTCCTAATATTTAAATTAAAAAAGGGGGTGATAGTGGAAAAATATCATTTAAGGAAAAATATCCTATGAGTAAATTACATCTAGAAAATTTGTACTTTAGAAAATTAACTTTAATTTGAAATGTTAACAATAAGATACCCATGAAAAACACACATGGTGTCAAAACAAGCCAAAGGAAAATCATTTGGGCAAAACAGAAAATGAAAAAGAAACCCAAGTTAAATTTATAGAAAATATCCCTTTATTAACTTTTGGTCAAGAATATGTTTGTATATTTTCAGAAAACAACTCTGAGACCATGTGGATTCCTGCAACAGAGAGGAATTGACAGGACTGCTCCAGCCATGAAGACAGAAAAGAAACAGTCCAGAGATGGAAGATGCTGACAACGCCTTGCCATACTAGCAGACAACAGCTGTGCATTGCTGAAGGATTCCCAGGACCAAACCAGAGACAGTTGGACAGTTTGTCCACAATTTGTCCACCAACCAGATCTGAAATATCATGGCTAATATGTACACATAAGGAACTGTTTTGACATTAAAATTGGGACTCGAAAGAACTGTTGGCTCAGAAAGGAACTCATTACAGACTGATTCATTTGCCTCTCAGCATAACCATTATGGCTTGTCTCAGTTTTGGTTCTTATAAGGGTATTTCTTGTATCACACGATCTAACACATCTAGGGGAAATAATGAACAACATAAACTGATGAACAAAAACAGACCCAGAATCAGAGAAGCAGACTCCTCAGACTCTCAAACCTCAGAGGGAAGGTAGGTGAGGGTGGGATAAGGGGGAGAGATCAACCAAAGGACTTATGTGCATGCATATAAGCCTAACCAGTGGCCATGGACAACAGGGGGTTGGGGGCATATGTGGGGAGGGGTTTGCAATGGGGCAATGAGGACAATTATGTGATACCATAATCAATAAAGAAATTAAAAAACGAGAAAAATAAAAATAAAGAAATCAATAAATAACATCCTATATAATAAAAGGCTAATATGCAAATTGACCAAATGGTGAAACAACTGGTTGCTATGATGCACACTGACCACCAGGGGGCAGACACTCAATGTAGGAGCTTCCCCCTAGTGGTCAGTGTGCTTCCACAAGGGGAGCGCCACTCAGTCAGAAGCTAGACTCATGGCTAGAGAGCACAGTGGCAGCAGTGCTAAGGATGTCCGACTGATGGCTTAGGCCCACTTCCCCAAAGGCTCCCGGACTGTGAGAGGGTGTAGGCTGCGCTGAGAGGAATGCCCCGAGAGCATGAATTTTGTGCACCAGGCCTCTCGTCTAAATATAAAAGCTTAAGTAACTCAATGACCAATTGACTGGTTGCTATGACAGACACTGACCACCAGGGGGCAGATGCTCAATGCAGGAGCTGCCCCCTGGTGGTAAGCACACTCCCACAGCAGGAGGGCTGCTCAGCTAGAAGCTTGGCTCACAGCTGGCGAGACTCTCCTGCCTCCACAGCAGCACCTACTGAGCAGTGAGCAGTGGTGGCTGCAGGTGCAGTGGGGCTAAGATGAGCGGGAGCAGTGCAATGCCCAGCCCTGGCGTGGGCTCCTCCCTGGGCTGCTTTCCACTTCCTACACTGCTATATCCTTTGGGGGATGTCAGACTGCAAGTTTTGGCATAATCCCTGCAGGCCTGGCCAGCATACCCTGAAAGTTCTTAGATTGCAGGAGGTTGCAGGCCAGGCTGAGGGACCCCACCAGTGCATGAATCCATGTACTGGGCCTCTAGTGTTAAATATTTTAGTAAAGTTTTATTTTTATGTGATCTGATTTTGTACATATAAGAATGTTACAAGGTTTTAAAAATCTGCCCAAGTGTGTCACCTCTTGATATCAAGGGACCTATTTATTTACATATTGTACTTTGGTGGCATTTCTAAGTCTTGGCTGCACCTGTTGAATCAGGGTTAATTGAAAAAACATTTAGAAGTGCAGAATGAATAAGTTGTATGCCACAAAAGTTAGGGAAATGCAAGGTATAACAACACAACTAGTGTATACCAATGTTATAACAACAGAATTAAGAAAAAGTTTCACATCCATATCTCATGCTTTGCAGCATGTCTACAACTAAAACAAACTAAATAAAGGAGGTTTCCCTAACCCTCTTTAAAAATATTTCCAGGAAATCAGTAATCAGAATCTTTTTCTGATAGATTCTTCTGATATTTAACAATAGAGAACCAATTTTGTCATAGGAAAAAATGTAAAATCCATAAAGGTATAATGAAAACCGTAACTTAAATACATGGCAGATGATATAGTAGCACCTGAGAAATTACTTTGACTGAAGCACAATGTTCTTGCCTTATTAAGAGGGCACCAGAAAGCCGTTAAGTCCAAAACATGAGTTGAATTAAACCTGAGTATTTCAGGAGTAAAAATACTTAGAATTTATTATAGTAAAAAATATGAGTATCCATAGAAGTAGTAAATTAATAGTTTGCCTGCACATTCAGTCTTTAGAAGTTTTTGCTTATTCCCTGGGGTAAAAACATCGTATCCTACTGCAGAGTGTTCACTAATCTCACCAGGCCTACAATTTTGTCACAAGCCCCTAAGAAATCACAGCTGATTTTTTTTTCTATAAATACTTTTTTTTTTTCTCCTCTTAAAAAGAAAACTTCATTTTGAAAAAACATGTTTTATCAACTAGAGAACTGTTGTGGAAGACTTCATGAAATGTCCAGAATTGACTTCAACACTGACATATCAAGAGATAACAAACAAAATACTTTATTTTAAATCTTTCATTTTTGACCCTCATTTTCCCCATCTATAAAATTGAGCTATTACTTAGCATATATTGGTCATGATGTTATTGTTAAATCTCTCGTTATTAAGAATATTCTAGATTGTAAATATTGAAATGCATTATACTTTTAAATAATATACATAACATTACCATTTGAGAAGAAAGTCAAAATAAAAGTGGGAAAAATGAAATTACACAAGTAAGCTTACCATCAAACCTGGTGGTCCTGGCGAACCAATTGGCCCTGGTATTCCAATGGGACCAGCTGGGCCCTGTTTTAAAGGAAGAGAAAAAGGATGAGAGAAAAGGAAAACACTCACTGTTCTACAATATGGATGAAATTTAAACTTAAGTAGTTGCCAGAATTCTGTTCTACAATTCTGATTCTGCAATATAATAGCTAATGTTTTAAAAATATAAGAATAAATGGATTTAATAATTATAAAAAATCAACTAGACAGATGGATAAAGTTTTTAGAAAACTTATGTTTTATAGTGGTAGATAAAATGTGGAACAAACACATCATAAGGAAGTTTTAGAAAATAAATTGATAAAGATGGGCATCGAGTGGTGGTCTTATGCTAGAATTGGAAAGAAAAAGCTATTAGTTTCAAGGTGGCTTTTATAATTTTTAGTTTTTAATAATTTTTTTAATTTTTCAATTACAGTTGACATACATTATTATATTAATTTCAGGTGTTAAATCCAATGGTTAGACATTGTATAACTTACTAAGTGATTATCCCAATAAATCTCATACCCATCTGATACCATGCATAGTTATTAGAATATTATTGACTATATTTCCTATGGTGCACTTTACATACCCACAACTATGCTGTAACAACCAATTTGTATTTTGTAAAACCTTCACCTTTTCACCCATCTCCCCTAACTCTTATCCCATCTGGCAACTGTCAATATTTTCTCTGTATCTCTGAATCTGTTTCTGTTCTGCTTATTTGTTTATTTTGATGTTTGAATTCAATTGTTTAGAATCAATGAAATAATATTAAAGATTACAAAGAAAGTGATTATAACTCAAAAAAATACGAAAATGATGCATTTTTTGTGGAACACAATTTAGCATCTCAAACACTTAAAAAATTGACTCCCTTCAAATCTAGCAATTGTATATCTAGTTATAAATCCTGAATTGTTTTTAATTTTTAAAAAATCCTGACACAACCCAAATATTCAACAATAGGAGATTGGAGAAACAAATTGTAGTACAGCTACACAATGAAATATTCTATAGAAGAGAAACTGAATGAACTAGAGCCATATACAATCATAGAAGTGAATTTTAACATATCAAATAGAAAATTTTGTAAAAAACGACATATGTATTATATTATTTTAAAAGCAAAACTACTAAGTATTCTATTGTTTATATGTAAAAATATATATAGGAAAACTATTTTTAAGAAACCATGTTCTGGGGGGCTGGAGTGACGTGGGTGTCAATCAGGGGAAAAGGAGACATAAGTAATATTTTATTTATTTATTTATTTTTATTGATTTCTTTATTATTTAAAGTACTACATATAATAGCACATATATCTTCTTTTTTTCCCCATTGACATTCCCCCAGCCTTCCCTACTCCCTGTCACATGCCTTCACCCCCGCCCTCAGCCCCAGTGTCATGTGTCCATTGGTTGTGCTTATATGCATGCACAGAAGTCATATAGTTAACCTCTTTTCCCCAAACCCCACACTCCTTAGCCTTCCCGCTGTAATTTGACAGTCTGTTTGGTGCTTTCCTGCTTCTGTATCTATCTTTTTGTTCAAAATGTTATAATGTTCTTTATTTTCCATAAATGAGTGAGATCATGTGGTATTTTTCTTTCATTGCCTGGTTTATTTCACTTAATATAATGCTCTCCAAGTCCATCCATGTTTCTGCAAATGTTAAGAATTCCTTCTTTTTCATAACAGCATAGTATTTCATTGTTTAGAAGTACTACAGTTTTCTAATCCACTCATTTGCTGATGAGCATTAAGGCTATTTCCAAATCTTAGCTATGATGAATTGTGCTGTTATAAACATGGGGATGCATAGATCCTTTCTGATTGGTGTTTCTACTTTCTTGGGATATATTCCTAGATTTGGGATTACTGGGTCAAATGGGAGTTTCATTTTTAGTTTTTTGAGGAAACTTCATATTGTTTTCCACAGTGGCTGCACCAGTCTGCATTCCCACCAGCAGTGCACGAGGGTTCCTTTTTCTTCGCATCCTCTTCAGCACTTGTCCTTTGTTGATTTGTTGATGATTGCCATTATGACACGGGTCAGATAGTATTACATTGATGTTTTGATTTGTATTTCACAAATAATTAGTGACTTTGAGCACGTTTTCATATGTCTCTTCTGTCTTCTTTTGAAAAGTTTCTATTAAGGTGCATTTCCCCCCCTTTTTTTTATTGGATCATTTATCTTCCGTTTAAGTTGTATAAGGTACCAGTAGATGTTGCAGATTAAACCTTTATCAGTAATAACAGTTGCAAATATGTTCTCTCATACATTGGGCTTTCTTGTTTAGTTTATGGTTTCTTGCTGTGCAAAAGCTTTTTATTTTTATTTAGTCAAATTCATCTATTTTCTCTTTAGCTTCCATTGCCCTAAGAGCAGTATCAGTGAAGAAATTGCTTCGGCATATATCTGAGATATCACTGCCTGTGGATTCCTCTAGTATTTTTATGGTTTCCCGTCTTATGTTTAAGTCCTTTATTCATTTTGAGTTTATTTTTGTGTATGGTGTAAGTTGGTGAGCTAGATTCATTTTTATTTGCATGTATATGTCCAATAATCCCAACACCATTTATTGAAGAGTCTGTCCTTTGTATGTTCATGCCTCTCCTTTGTCAAATATTAATTGAGCATAGTGGTTTGGGTTGATATCTGGGTTCTGTATTCTATTCTATTGGTCTTTATGTTTGTTCTTGTGACAGTACCATGCTGTTTTGAGAATAGTTGCTTTGTAATATAGCTTGAAATCTTGTATTGAGATCCCAACTATTTTGTTCTTCTTTCTCAGGATTGCTGCAGCTATTTGGGGTCTTTTTTAATCCAGATGAATTTTTGGAGGATTCTTTCTAGGTCTGTGAAATATGCCGTTGGTATTTTAATGGGGAGTGCATTGAATCTATATATTGCTTTGGGTAGTATGGACATTTTGATAATGTTGATTCTACCAACTCATGAACATGGAATGTTCTTCCATCTGTTTATATCTTCCTCTATCTCATTTTTATTCAGTGTCATGTAGTTTTCCACATATAGGTCTTTTACCTCCTTAGTTAAGTTTATTCCTAGGTATCTTAATTTTTTGTTGTTGTTGTTGAGATGGTAAATGGGATTGCTTTTTTAGTATTTTTTCTGTAAGTTCACTATTGCTGTATAGAAATGCCATAGACTTCTTGGCATTAATTTTGTATCCTGCCACATTGCCAAACTCTTTTATTAAGTCTATTAGTTTTTTGATGGAGTCTATAGGGTTTTATATGTACAATACCATTTCATTCACAAATAAGGACAGCTTTATGTCTTCTTTTCCAATTTGGATGCCTTTTATTTCTTCTTCTTGTCTGATAGCAATGGCTTGTATTTCCAGTACTATGTTGAACAGGAGTGGTGAGAGAGGGCATCCCTGTCTTGTTCCTGTTCTTAGGGGACATTGTTTTAGTTTTTGTTCATTGAGTGTGATGCTGGCTGGGGTTTGTTATATATGGCTTTTATGATGTTGAGGTATGATCATTCTATTCCCACCTTGGTGAAAGTTTTTATCAAGTAAGGGTTGGATTTCATCAAGTGCTTTTTCTGCATCAATTGATATGACTATGTGGTTTTTATCTTTCAATTTGTTTGCGTGATATATCGTTTGTTAAGTAGTGGATATTGTATCATCTTTGCATCCCTAGGGTAAATCCTACTTGGTCATGGTGTATGATCTTCTGATGTACTGCTGAATCAGATTTGCTAGAATTTTGTTGAAGATTTTGGCATCTATGTTCATGAGGGATATTGACCTGTAATTCTCTTTCTTTGTAGTGTCTCTATTTGTTTTTGGTATTAGGGTGATGCTGGCTTAATAGAATGACCTTAAAAGTGTTCTTTCTTCTTCAGTTTTTTGGAATATGCTGAAGAGGATGGGTTTTAGTTCTTTGAATGTTTGGTAACACTCCCCTGTGAAGACATCTGGTCCTGGGCTTTTGATTGACAGAAGCTTTTTGATGACTGCTTCAATTTCTTTCATAGTTATTGAACCTTTGAGATATTTAGATTCTCCCTAATTGAGTTTTGGAAGGTTGTACTTTTCAAGGAATATGTCTATATCCTCCAGGTTGTCCAGTTTGTTAAATATAGGTCATAGTATTTTTTAACAATACTTTGTATTTTGGCAGGGTCTGTTCTTATGTCTCCTCTTTCATTTCTTATTTTGTTTATTTGTGATCTCTCTCTCCTTGCTTCTTGGTGAGTCTGGCTAGAGAAGTTCATCAGTATTGTTTATCCTTTCAAAGAACCAGCTCTTGGTTTTGTTGATCTTTTGCATTGTTTCTTTGGTCTCTATGTTGTTTATCTCTGTTCTGATCTTTATTATTTCCTTTCTTCTGCTTACACAGGGCTTTTCTTGTTGCTCTCTTTCTAACTCTATGATTTGTAGGTTTAGATAATTTATTACCATTGTTTCTTGTTTTGTTTTGTTTTTGTGTTTTTGCTTTTGCTTTTGTTTTTGTTTTCAGTAAGCTTGTAGAGCTAAGAACTTCCCTTTCAAGACTGCTTTTGCTGTGTCTCATATATTTTGGATTGTTGTGTTTCCATTGTCATTTGTTTCCAGGATGTTTTTGATTCCTTCCTTGATCTCTCTGGTAACCCAGTCATTGTTTAATAGCATCCAATTTAGTCTGCATGTGTTTGATTTTTTCAATTGTTTTTATTGCAGTTGATTTCCAGTTTTATGGCACTGTGATCTGACAAGATGCTTGACATGCTTTCTATCTTCTTGCACTTGAACAGATTTGCCTTTGACCCAGCATATGGTATATCTTTGAAAATGACCCATGTGCACTTGAGAAGAATGTACATTCTGTGGCTTTGGGGTGAAATGTTCTGAAGAAGTCCATTAATTCCATCTGGTCTAGTGAGTCATTTAGGAGTGATGTTTCCTTATTTATATAAACACATAGTCATATTGTGTGTAGAGTATTTGTTCAATTATGATAGTGGGGTATTAAAGTCTCCTTACTATGAGTATATTGCTGACAATCTCTCCCTTGATATCCTCCAGGTGTTTTTTTACGTTTCTGAGTGGTCCTATATTGGGTGCATATATGTTTACAAGAGTTATTTTTTCTTGCTGGATTGCTCCCTTTAGTATTATGAAGTGGCCTTCCTTATCTCTTTTTATATTCTTCACTTTGAGTTATAATTTATCAGATGTAAGTATTGCTACCTCAGTTTCTTTCTTTCTTTCTTTTTTCATTTCCATTCACCTGGAAAACATTTTCCATCCCTTCACCCTCAGTCTGTGTGCGTCTTTTTATCTGAGGTGGATTTCTTGTAGACAGAAGATATAGGTCATGTTTTCTTATCCAATCTGTTACCCTATATCTTTTGATTGGGGTATTTAATCCTTCTACATTGAAAGATATTATTGATAGGTACTTGTTTGTTGCCATTTTTATTCTTTACCTCTGTGTTCCTTCTTTGCTCCTTATTTCTTTTCTCTTCTCTTCTCTTCTCTTCTCTTCTCTTCTCTTCTCTTCTCTTCTCTTCTCTTCTCTTCTCTTCTCTCTTCTCTTCTCTTCTCTTCTCTTTCTTTCTTTCTTTCTTTCTTTTCTTTTTTTTTCTTCTTTTTTTTAGCACACCCTTTAGCATTTCTTGCATTGCTGGTTTGATTTGGTGGTAATATACTCCCTTAGTTCCATGGTCAGCAAACTGCGGCTCATGAGCCACATGTGGCTCTTTGGCTCCTTGAGTGTGGTTCTTCCACAAAATACCACGGCCTGAGCAAGTCTATTTTGAAGAATTGGCATTAGAAGAAGTTTAAGTTTAAAAACTTTGGCTCTCAAACAATTTTAAGTTTAAAAACTTTGGCTCTCAAAAGAAATTCCAATCATTGTACTGTTGATATTTGGCTCGATTGAATAATGAGTTTGCCGACCACTGCCTTAGTCCTTTTTTGTCTGTGAAGCTCCTGATTTCACCTACAGTTTTGATTGATAGCCTTGCTGGGTACCATATTCTTGGATTCAAACCCTTCCTTTGCATGACTTTATATATTTCATTCCATTCCCTTCTGGCCTGATGTGTTTCTGTTGTGAAATCAGTCGCTATTCTGATGCAGATCTTTTGTAGGTAACTTTCTGTCTCTCTCTGGCCGCTTTTAAGATTCTTAATTTGTTGTTGGTGTTTATCAATTTAATTATAACGTGCCTTGGCGTCAGCCTTTTGGGGTTCATTTGGCTGGGTACTCTGTGAGCTTCTTGGATTTGTGTGGGTTTTTACTTCCCTATATCAGGGAAGTTTTCTGTCATTATTTCTTCAAACAGGTTTTCTATTCCTTGCTCAATTTCCTCACCTTTCGGTACCCCTATTATATGGATGTTGTTTTGTTTTGTGTTATCCCAAAGTTCCCTTAAGCAATCCTTCTGCTTTTTAAGTTCTGTGTTTGTTTTTTTTAGAAGATGCTTTACTTGGGTATTTTTTTCCTACCTTGTCTTCTAGCTCACTGATGCAGTCCTCTGCTTCTTCTAGTCTACTCTTGATGCTTCCTATTGAGTTCTTTACAGCAGTGATGTCATTTTTCATTTCTTCTTGGTTCTTCTTCATTTCCTCTTGGTTCTTAGACATATTTTTGATTTTGTCTTCCATTCTTTTCATCCACCTTATGATCATTGCTCTGAATTCTTTCTCTGACAGGTTGCTTGCTTCCATTTTGTTTACTTTCTTTTCTGGTGATGTCTTCTTTTCTTTCATATGCAGGCTGTTTCTTTGTTTCCCCATGATCTCTCTTCTCCAGGTGTCTAGTTATGTAGTTCTCTCTCTCCTTTTCTGTGATGGAGTGTAGACCTCATCTGAATCTGCATGCTTGTGTCACTTGGGGACCAGTTTTTTGGGTTTGCAGCTGTTCAGTGGGCCCCATAGTTGTAGATTCCATAGGCTTCTCAGGTGTCCAATAACATCTACGTTCCCCTTCAAGATGGTGCAGTCACTGCATCCGAGTGGGTCCCTCTGGGAGAGGATCCAGCAGCAGTGGGGGCTGCCCACTTATGGAGCCCTGTCCTAATGTCCCCCCACAGTCTCCTGGAGTATAGCTGTCCCTAAATTCATCAACAATGATGAATTTAGGGACAGCTATACCCCGTGCGACCAAATACTCTCCATTTGCTTTCTCATTCACACACTTTCTTGCAGTCTGCCTTCCCGTAGACAGCCATCTTCAAACTCTGACATATGTAATACTTTAAACTAGGGGTGTCGAACTCAATCAGAGAAGGGGCCAAAATCTAAAATCCAGCCTAAATCGCGAGCCGAATGGTTTACTGAACAGTCATAAACTGTCATTGTGATGGCAACGCAGTGGAGTGCAGTGATGACAGCAAGGTGCGGGCCACATTGCAAGGCCTGGCGGGACGGATTTGGCCCGCGGGCCTTGTGTTTGACACATGTGCTTTAAACAATAAAAAAGCAATGGAATACTCTAGGTGATAATTATGACTTGAGAGAAGGCAGAAACTACAGGTTGATCCAAAATTATTTATAATATTCCAGTTCTTACATGTTGTGTTGGGGTCACAGGTGTTCATTGGGTATTTATGCTTTATAATGTACATATATTTTGCATGAATTCTGTTTTTGTTAATATTACATAATACAAAATTATAAAAGATTAGGATAAAGTTGAAAGTACTTAAGAGCATATGGTGGGTGATAAGTATGATATGAGAAGGTAGTTTTAAAAAGTCCTTGACATTTTATGCTAGTGATCAAATATTAGAAAGTATTAATTTTTTTTTTCTTTTTGGCAAAGGGATTAATCTTTACAAATATAAACCTCAAGAAATTAACTTCCTAATCTACAAATACTCCAATTATTACTGTCTCTATGCATATATGTTATCTGTAGGCTAATCTAACTGTTTTTATAAGATTGTAATTGATGTATCAATTGTATTTCTTCAGCCTAAAATATGCATAACTGATAGTGTTACAAATTACATCTTCTAATGCCTTAAATGGAAGATCTAGGATATTATTTTTAATCAGACCATTTATAATTATTAAGACTAATCCTGCTACCCTACTGATTCCCACATCACAAAAATAAAAACATAGATGCTTATTTCTGCTGCCAAATAATGAAATCAGTATCACCATGGAAATTATATAAAAACAAACAAACAAACAAACAAACAAACGCCCGCGCGCGCGCACACACACACACAACAAAGCAGTGCTTCTAAAAATTCTCTCTGGTCCAGATTTCTTTTGTCTTCAGATAGAAGTACATGCAATGTCTACCAACTTCCAATGATAATTTCTATAACTAAAAGCTAAAAAGAAAAATAGTGATGCTGTGATTTGATTACATCATTATTGCAAAAAAGAAAATAACTGGATGCTTACTTGTATTCCAGGAGGACCTGGATATCCTGGATCACCCTTTGGTCCTGACAGTGATGGCATAATTATACTTCCTGGTTCACCCTGAAAGAAAACATCAATGAAAGTTATAAATAGCCTAAACGAGTTTGGCTCAGTGGATATAGCATCGGTCTGTGGTCTGAAAGGTCCCAGGTTTGATTCCGGTCAAGGGCATGTACATTAGTTGTGGGCACATCCCCTGAAGGGGGTGTGCAGGAGGCAACTGGTTGATGTTTCTCTCTCATCGATGTTTCTAGCTCTCTATCCCTCTCCCTTCCTCTCTGTAAAAACAAATCAATAAAATATACTTTAAAAAAAGAAAGTTATAATTAGCAGTTATGACACATGAAAACTGGCAAGAGCATGAAAAATAATATGAGAATTCAATTTGTCACATGAATGTCCTAAAAGATTAGGCAAATTAAATAATTCACATGAATAAATTTGCATTTTAATGGGAAGTGAGGAAATAGCCAGAGTATACTGAAGTAAAATTATTTAAAAGAGCCTATGATACTTTCAGTTACTAATTCATTAAAAATTATTGAATATTAATATTTACCAAGAACTGTGTTAGGCTCTAAGTAATCATTAGTAAAAAAAGATTAAGATTTCTGTTCTCATGGTGTAACAATATACTGGGGGAATGAAGAACATAACATGTAAACAAATATGATGACCAACTGTTCTGTTAAGGGCAATGAAGAAAAGCAAAATAGTACATGATAAAGAAATAGTGGAGGATTAAAAATAAATTACAATTGCCCTGGCTGGGTGGCTCAGTTGATTATAGTATCCTCCTGTATACTAAAAGGTTGCAGGTTTGTTTCCAAGTCAGGCACATACCTAGGTTGCAGTTTGATCCCTGGTCCAGGTGTTGTGGGAGGCAACCGATTCGTTTCTCTCTCACATCTCTCTCTCTCTTTTTCTCTCTGTGTCTGTTTCTCTCTCTCTCCCTCTCTCTCTCTCTCTCCCACCTCCTCTCTCTCTAAAAATCAATGGGAGCATATTCTCAGGTGAGGATTGGAAAACAAAATGATAATTATATGACATGATAGAGGTGCTAGTCCTATATAATAAAAGCCCAATGTGCTAAGTGGCTGACCATTTGACTGTTCAACCAGTCACTATGATGTGAATTGACCACCAGTGGGCAGACACTCTGACTGGTAGGTTAGCTTGCTTCTGGGGTCTGGTCGATCGGGACTGGGTGAGATGGGCTGGACAATAGTCTATATGAGACAATATATTTAGTTTAATGGCAGTGGGGATGGAGAAAAGTGGGTAAATTTAAGATATATTTTATAGGTAAAACTCACAGTATTTAGTAATACAATGGAATGAGGGGGTAGAGGTATGTGAAGAAGTAAAAAATGTAAGTTTTGGGGCTTATGTAATAGTGTGCATAATATATAGTGATGCAAATTTTAGAGATGGATAAGCCAGAGAAAAGAACTGGTTTATTTTTGGCTTTGTTAACTTTGAATGCTAATTTGAATATCTGAGAAATGTTTGAGTAAAGATGTCAGGGAGGCATCTAGGTCAGAAGAAAAGTCTGTTTTAGTGGTATAAATGTAGGTATTCAATAACTAAATAGTAAAACACAATGAGCATTAATAATATTGCTAGGCATATAACAGAAGAGGGAATCAGACTGTGCCGTAATACCTGCTGGATAGGATAGTATGAGCTTGCATACAACACTATTGAATGCACAGAGATTCAAATTATAAGAATCAGGGAAGGATAGTGTCAGAATATAGGGGAAAAGAGTGTCTTGGGAGAGCAGGTGGTCAATTGTATAAAAATATAATGAGGACTAAAGATATCAGAAAAGAAATTTGAGTCTGATATACATATTTATAAGTGTATCAGTATATAGGAGGTAATTAAATCCACAGGAACAAAGGAGACTACTTCAGGATAGTTTGTAAGTATGCAACTGCCCAATTTCTAGAAGCATCCATTTTTAAGACAGAAGTCAGTGATGTTATCTGCTTAAAGTTGCAGGCTTTCCAAATATTTTATTCAAAATGTTTTCCTTTCCAACATGAGATGCTTACCTTCATACCTGGAATCCCAGGAGGTCCCTATTATTAAAAGAAAATATATTGTTATACATACACTAGAGGCACAGTGCATGGAATTAATGCACGGGATGGGGGGGGGGGGGATCCTTTAGCCCAGCCTGCAACCTCACACAATCGGGGACTCCTCAGGGAATGTTTGACTGCTGGTTTAGGCCCAATCCTGCATGGATCCCTGTGGTATTGGGTCTAAACCGGCAGTTGGACATCCCTCTCACAATCTGGAACCACTGGCTCCTAACAGCTGGCCTGCCTGACCGCCCCTCACCACTCTGCCTGACTATCTGATCACCCCCTAACCACTCCTTTGCCTGCCTGATGCCCCTAAGTGCTCGCCTGCCTATCTGATTGCTCTAACCATCTCTGTGGCTTTGTCTGGAAGAGCATTCAGAATGACATTAAGAAGGTCATTCGGCTGTCTGATCAATTAGCATGTTACATTTTTATTATTATAGATGAGTGTAATGCTTTCCAAATAGAGTCCAAATTGAATAGACGACTATAGGGTCATTCTGAGTAAAATGTATCTTAGGATACTTAAAGATGACATTTATGTAGGCTGGGAAAAAGTAGATTCACCACTGTTTGTATGAAAAATAATACAATAATTAAAATAATAAAACAAGAATTTTACATACGACTATAAACCTACTTTTACCCCACCCTGTATTAAATAATAGAATCCTTGCTTTTACCCAGCACAGAGCTATACTATAAACTTTCATTTTAAAAGTCCTTTTCTAGTTTACTACTTTAAAATTTATTGTTGTTACACATGAATGCACTAAGTTCACTTTCTACACTTCTGCTTATTCTGTCAATTCCTGTGTTCATTACAATCCAAAATTTTATAACTTACTGGAGGACCCTGTAAACCAGGAAAACCAGGACTGCCTGGAAATCCACGTTCTCCCTAGGAGTTAAAAAAAGAAAGAAAGAAAGAAAGAGCATGAGGAACAAGAAAGAAAGCACAGGTATGCCAGCAAACAATGATTTATTGAAAAGATTTTTGTAAAAGCCATTTTGAAACAACAGATTTGCCAAAAATTCATTAACCTCTACTTTCCAATTATTTCAGTATCAACTATCCAGATTATGTCAAACATTTTAACAAATCCATTTTGAATCAATCACACCATATTCCTGGCCATAATCACATTTAATAGTTAATGATTTGCCCCAATATCCTGTCTATGTATTCTATAGATACTTATTTTAACTGTCTTATTGCATTTTCTTTTATTGCAATTATTTATTTATTTATTTATTTATTTATTGCTAAGAGAAAAAAATATAATAATGCCATTAATATCACCAAGAGGACAATGATAGCAATAGTTCTAGCAATTGCAGGTCATTATGTTTTCTAGGTTTTTGTTCTCATTCATTATTGTAATATACTACTATGGACATTTGGTTTAGAAAACAAAACCTAATTCGTTGTAGAAGAACCCCAATGCACCCTCCTTTCAAATACCTGTATGCCACAGTAATCCTAGAAACATCCTTATCAGAGGTTTAAAAGAGTAAAATTATTTGGTATGTACACCTTTAATTATTGCCCAATACTCTCACTTAACCACTCTTTGCAAATGGAAAGGTAGGCTCAGAGAGAAAGGAAGTGGCCTGAGCATTAAATTTAGAAGACAGAAAACAAAAGAAAAGACATATACTGGTTCCATGACTGGGGTTCATTCTATTAGTTGTACAGCAAGAAATATAAGAAACCACTTTATCTAAAAGTATACATAACCATTTTAAAAATTTTGTTGCTCATAATTGAAGGCCTCAAAAACAAACTAGATATGAAATCTGCTAAGTTGTTGCTTTACAAAAAGAAAGAAAACTATCCCTTTAATTATATAACATAGTATTCTCATACACCCACACACACATACTAATTCCTTTTTAACTTTCATCTTACATTACACTAAAGTCAGAAAAAGTTTTTGTAAGTAACTTTCAATTCAATGCAATGTCCCAACTACTTAAACAACTTAAACTTAAAGCATTACTGATTCAAATTATTGAAAATGTTAACTCAGAACACACAGCTATGTATGTCCCAGACATGAAGCTAGTATATCTCTTCTTCAATATTCTCAATATTTATTTATTTATATTTTTAAATCTATTATTATCAAACATATTATCTAAACTTAAGTTGAGATCTCACCTTGGTTCCATTGCATCCAGGGACACCTTGAGGTCCTGGGGCCCCATCATGGCCTGGCATTCCCTATGAAAAGTGATACAGATATATAATAGTTCTTAGATTATTTTAAAATATTTTATTAGATTTATTAGAGTTACCCTGATTAATAAAATTATATAGGTTTCAGGTATACAATCCTACAATACATTATCTGTATATTGTATTGTGTGTTCACCATCCAAAAATCCAGTTTCCTTCTATTACCATTTATCCCTCCTTTACTCTCTTCTACCTCTCCCTACTCCCTTTCTTTCTAGTAGTCAGCAAATTACCATACCATCATCAGTGTTTATGACATTTTTAATGTCTTTGTTTAATCCCTTCACCTATTTCACCCAGTCTCCAATGCCTTCCCCTCTGACAGCTATCAGTAGTTTCTCCATATTCATGAATATGTTTCTATTTTTATTTTATTTTATTTTATTAGATTCCACACGTAAGTGAAATCATGTGATATTTGTCTCTCTCTGACTTGGCAAGTACATGGACTGTTGGTGAGAATGCAGATTGATACAGTTACTGTGGAAAGTAGTATAGAGTTTCCTCAATAAATTAAAAATGTCTTATGACCCCAATTCTGGAAATATATCCAAAGAAAGCCAAAACATCAATAAGAAAAAAATGCATACACCACTATGTTCACATAGTGCTATTTACAATAGCCAAGATTTGGAAGTAGCCCAAGTGCCCATCAGTAGATGAATAGATTAAAAAAAATGCTGTGGTACATTTACACAATGGAATGTTATTCAGCCATAAAAAAAGAAATCTTATAATTCTTTTTAAGGGATTTAAAAATAAGATCCAAATTGTACTTACTGGAAGACCTGGTGTACCTGGAAATCCAGGAAGTCCAGGAGGACCCTATAAGAAGAAATACATTCCTTGAATCAAGTAACAACTAGTAAAAATAAAATAATATCCTACCTAAGGGAATTGTGAAAATTATATTCAGAAATGCAATGAAATAAACTGTCTCATTAATTATTGCCACTCACTATTCTTTTACACATAATAGAAAAAACTATACATGTTAAAATCTCTATAGAAAACTACAGAAGAAACTCCTATTCAAAGGAGTATTGTCTTCATTATACTTAGTAAGAGGCAGCAAATTAATAGATGAAATGTCTTTTCTAGCTCTAGCTGGTTTTGCTTAGTGGATAGAGCATCAGCCCAAGGACTGAACGGTCTGGGTTCAATTCTGGTCAAGGGCACATACCTCGGTTGCAGGCTCAATCCCCAGCCTCTGTCAAGGGCACACATGGGAGGCAACAAATTGTGTCTCTGTCACGTAGATGTTTCTCCCTCTCTGTCTCTCCCCCTACCTTCCACTGTCTCTAAAAATCAATGGGAAAATATCCTTGGGTGAGGATTAACAAAAAAGAAGAAGGAGGAAGGCGAGGAGGAGGAGGGGGGGGAGAAGAAAATGTCTTTTATAAAAGATAAAGTGGTTCTCCAAGGTTTGTGATGGATATTGAATTCAGCAGGGATGGGTAACTGGCAAAAATATCTGCACCAGAGATCACCCCAAAAATTCTTCAATCATTTCTCCTGTAACGATGATAAAAAATACAAATTTGACAATATTCTCGTAAGTGAGGGTATGGAAAACAGGTATTCTCTCCAAATGCCATGGAGAGAAATTTGGAAGTATCTAGCAAAATTTCTCAAGTATTTACCCTTTGAAGCAACTCATTTCTAAGGGTTTACTTCGAAGTTATACTACAAATTATGAAATAAAATATAAAATTCAAGTTTATTCAATGAAGCATTATAGCTTAACTTTAGAAATGAATATATAATAATAATTATAGCTAAATATTAGAAACAAGAAGAACATGCCTATAGAATTTATGGTAAATTTACATAAAGTAAAACCATGAAGCTTTTAAAAAGAATGAGGAAGATTTCTGTACAGTGGTCTCCAGGGTATAATAGTAAGTAAAAGAAGCAAAGTGTAAATAGTATTTATAATATGCTACCATTGTATAAGAAGGGTAGTGATACCAAATAATGAAAAGATGTACAAAAAAATAATAATAATGATTTTATCTAAAGATAAGGAAGCAACAGAATGGGGGAATGGCAAGGATGGATGAGGAACATCCCTGACTATGCCTTATCTTATAGAACTATGTAAATATTTAAAATATTAAAAAGTAAAAAAAAATGAGGAAGAAGGAAATCATTCAAAATTGCAAACAAACTGGAACCAATGAACTTAATGTATATCAAGTTGCTGGCATAACAATACAGAGAAAATAATTACTTCAAGTGCTTTAAAAACATAATATTTTGACTATAATTCCTCGGTGAAATTAATCAGTTCAAAAGATGAAAAGAAAAATAATGGCATTTAAGAATTCTAATCTCACCATTAAAATTGAAATTGTTATTTTGTTAATTTGTAAATCACTATTTGAAATGAACATAGGTATATTGTAGGGTACAATGTCATTTAGAATCAAAATTTTCACCTTAAGGAAAGAGAGCTGGCAGGGAGAGAATAAGTATACAAAAACGTGTGTTTTTTTTTAAATTTTGATTGAAAAAATATGAATGCATGATATTTTTCTCTTTAAAATATCTATTTTCTAATTCTGTCCACTGAAAAGACATCAAAACAATAACAAATCCAATAGCAATGAAAACCCCTAAAATTCAGACTGTTATATATAAATCACAATTTTCACTGAAAAGAACCTGAAATCAGAGACATGGCCAATTACAGATCTGGAGAGAAAATGTACAAAATAAGCCTGAAGGGTCTTGTATTAGAAAGAAAGGAAGTTATCAAAGATCTTTTGTCAAAAGGGCTTCTGTAGACCAAAGATGGCATAATTTGGACTTGTATGAATGCATATTAGCATAACCAATGGACACGGACACTGAGGCGGTAAGGGCTTGCCCTCAGGGGTGGGAGTGAACAGGGGGATACTTTAAACAATAACAAATAAATATATATAAAAGAATAATGAGCACAATTGTTTGAAATAAATTTAATGTGTTTATAAGGATAATACATTGAAAAAAATTCCTTCATCATCACTTGAAGTTGCTGGTATAGCAACTCATTACCTTATTAGAATTCCAGCTGATAAATTAGAATTCTAGTTAATAAATGAAGGGTTAATAGAATTTTTAAAATCATCACTTCACAACTCTGAATGAAAACCAAATGATCTAGACAATGATCATGGATGGATGCTAAACCAACCACTAAGTGAAAGCTGATGGGGACATTTTTGTTGGCAGAATCAGGCTTATAATCCTGAGACCACTGATAAAACCTAGCATAAAAAGGGGGATTAGACAGATATTTGGGCCATAAGAGGTAATTGAGTAGTAAGTAAATATCAATAGCATGACCTATAAAGTGTTATTTTTTCACTAGTCATAAAACTTTATTGAAGTGATCGATATATATAATTCTTCTGAGAAATATTTTGAACCACACACTTGATGGTTAAAAACACATCAAGATTTTTTTATTGGTAGATGTTTCTATTTTCTTTATTTTCTGCAGTATAATTTATATACAGTAAAATTCACAAATCTTAAGTGTACAGCTCTTTCTGTATCCCCAGAAAGTTCTCTAGTGCCTCTTCCAAGGCAACCTCCAATTTGCAGAAAATATGGGAGAATAGAGGAACAATTTAAATGACATCATGAATAAAGAATCAGCTACTTTCAGAATGTGGAACATAGTACAATACAAATGACCCAGCATCTCCAATGGCATGGTAAAGAAACTTAATAAATACACCAACCAAATGCAATATATGTAATTTGCTTCAATTCTGGTTAGAACAGATCAATTATAAAAAGACATCTTTGAGACAATTGAGGAAATCTGAATATGGAATTAGTTTTTAAGTATATTGAAGTAATGTTGTATTCTTCAAAAAAAATAGTTGCTCTTTAACACAGTGGTTTAAACCATTGATTCTCATGTATTCTCTTCAAGATACACAAAATTATAATATATGCATATGATAACACTGGGAGGGTACATAGTCTGAGGGATCAGTCCTGTTAAACCAGAGAACTGAGATGATCACAATAATTGGGAATTTCTGATTTAAACCATTTGTATGATATATACTAGTATTTTAAATGAATTGGCAATTTGTTAAAATGAATCACTTTGTAAATTTTAAACATAAGCTAATTTAAAATCTTTTTACATTAGTGTGTATAGACATCTGTATATGTAAATATAATTATCCAAACACTAAGGGCTAATTGTAGACATATATCAACTTTTAACTTTTTAAATATTGAATATTTTTGCATTTCAATGTGAGTTTTTCTTCTGTTGTCTTATAACACTTCATTTGCTTTTTCTGTTTTTACCAACAACATATTTGACATATAAGCACATATCACTTACTCTGTTCCCTTTGGGTCCTGGTGGCCCTGGATTTCCATCATCACCCTGAAAAATACAACATACTTAGTTTTTCCCTTTCAAATAGCCCTCAAATACTATAAAGTTTTCCCCTTTCAAATAGCCCTCAAATATAATAAGAAATATATAATTTTTATTATAAAATGATATTAAATTTTTGTGAAGATTATTGAGATATTTACATACCCAAGGAAAAAGTATTTACTAGTATTATTGAAACTGAAAGTATGATAAAAAGGCCAGCCCTCTGGAGCTGAAGATATTTGAGTGCACGGCCCTGGAGAACAAAGCTGAGCTGAAAGAGGAGCTAAAGGGCCTGCCCAACCTCCTCTATCACCATGACACATCTCTCCTTCAATTAGCACAACTCTGTTTTTATCTGTTTTATGTGGGGCTTCTGTGAAGTTTTATTTTGAGAAAAGGTTACCTTGCATATTTGTTTCCTATGCTGCTGTTATAAATTACTATAAACATTGCAGCTAAAACAGCACAACCTTACATTTCTGGAAGTCAGATGTATGATAGGCGTTCCAGTGACAGAGCTGTGTTACTTTTTGAAGGCTTTAAGGCAGTGGTTCTCAACCTTCCTAATGCTGCGACCCTTTAATACATACAGTTCCTCATGTTGTGGTGACCCCCAACCATAAAGTTATTTTCGTTGCTACTTCATAACTGTAATTTTGCTGCTGTTAATGAATCGTAATGTAAATATCTATGTTTTCTGATGGCCTTAGGCTCTATAGCAGGGGCTCTCAACCTGTGGGTGGGTCACAACCCACAGGTTGAGAACCGCTAGCAGGGTCGCCTAAGGCCATCCTAAGACCACTGGAGAACACAACTATTTACATTATGATTCATTATCAGTAATAACAGTAGCAAAATTACAGTTATGAAGTAGCAACAACAATAATTTTATGATTGGGGTCCCAACAACATGAGGAACTATATTAAAGTGTTGTGGCATTATGAAGGTTGAGAACCACTGCTTTAGGGGAAGAATCCATTTCCTATCTTTTTTTCCAACTACTAGAGCAGGGGTGGGGAATGCCCAGCCTGAGGGCCGCATAGGGCCCACAAAATCATTTGGTTTGGCTCTACCAGAGCATTAGGGGTGAGTTACTTAAATGTTTGACCAAATTATAACAGGCTAACTTTATTTATTTATATTTTATTGATTTTTTACAGAGAGGAAGGGAGAGAGATAGAGAGCTAGAAACGTCGATGAGAGAGAAACATCGACCAGCTGCCTCTTGCACACCCCCCACCAGGGATGTGCCTGCAACCAATGTATTGAAGTACATGCCCTTGACAGGAATTGAACCTGGGACCTTTCAGTCTGCAGACCGACGCTCTACCACTGAGCCAAACCGGCTTTGGCAGGCTAATTTTTTAAAGTAAGTCTTTATTGTTCAGATTATTACAGTCCTCTTTTTTCTCCCCATAGCTTCCCTCCACCGGGTTCCCACCCCACCCCACCCCATGCTTTTAACCCCCCACACTGTCCTCATCCATAGGTGTTTGATTTTTGTCCAGTCTCTTCCCACACTCCCCACAACCCCTCCCCCTAGAATTGTCAGTCCACTCCCTTTCTATGCCCCTGATTCTATTATATTCACCAGTTTATTCTGTTCATCAGACTTTTTATTCATTGGATTTTTAGATTCACTTATTGATAGATATATATTTGTATAACAGCTAATTTTTAAGTTGATAATTTTGTATGACCCTAGAATGATGTTATATATATCCAAATGGCCCTTGGCAGAAAAAAGGTTCCCCAATCCTGTTCTAGAGCCACCAGCATTCTTCAGCTCATGGCCTTCTTAAATCTTCAAAGCCAGTAATGGCTGAATGATTCTTTATAACTTGAGTCACTCTGACACTGCTTCTTCTGCCTTCTTCTACATTTAAAGAACCCTTGTGATTACACTAGGGCCACAGACAATATATATATAAAGCCAGAGGCCATGATGACTGAAATGATGAAAGGACCGGTTGCTATGAAGTGGCATTGACTGGCAAGTGGGCTGAACTACTGACCTCACGTTTTCCCCTCCCCCCCAGTTTCTGCAGGCAGTGGTAGCTCCCTCCCACCTCTTGCGAATCTCCCACCTGCTCCAGCGAACTGCCAGCACCCACTGAAGCCAGCAAACTGGTCCAATCAGGGGATGGGGTTGGCCAACCTCATGGCCCATCCCCCACCAGTCTGCCCCTGATTGGACTCTCCCATCATAATCAAGAGTGGGCTTCACTGAGCCTCGACCCTGCCTGGCAGCCCCCGAGTCTGTGGGGTTGAGAATTCGGATGGCCTGCCAAGAGAGTAGAGGTGCCTGATGGGTAGGGACAGGGACCACAGGCCTCCAGGGAGTACTGCAGAGTTGGCAAGGAGAGAAGAGGACCTGTGGATGGGGAGGAGGAGAAGCCAGCAGACATCAGCCCAGAATACAGCCCTTCACCCCAGTGGCAGCACTCCCTCAACCCAGAATCCTAGCCTGAACGAGAAGAGCCCAAGGGAGGCTTCAGGAAGTTCTACAAAAAGATGTGCATTGAAAATGAGAGATTTCGTTAGGCCCTGACCCAGGCCACACTGCAGCTGGCGCAGCTCAAGGTGGAGCTGGAGCACAACATGCAGAGGCATTCACACTTTGCAGAGAGGCCGGCCCTCCTGGAGCTGGAGAAATTTGAGTGCAGGGCCCTGGAGTACAAGGCTGCTGAGCTGGAAGAGGAGCTGAAGGGCCTGTCTAACCTGCAGGCTGACAACCAGTGCCTCAAGGACAAAAACACAGCCCTAATGTGCGTCATCAGCAAACTGTCCAAGTGACCCCGGAGGACTCGCCCCTGCACCCTCATTTATATAGCTGCTTCTGCCACATGTACCCCCTCCACGAGTGACAGGGCTGCTGGGGAGTCTCTGAGAAGCCATTACCTAACTTCAGGACCTCCAGGCTGGGGGGTAGGACAGAGCCCCCAGGAGCCAAGGGGCCATCTAAGGCCTGGATGGAATGGGGAGGTTGAGCCAGGTAGGGGGACCAGGGCCGCAGGCAGGACAAAGAAGAAACAGAGGACCAGGAAGTACCAGGACCAGTAGCTAGGACCAGAGTGGCCACCTGGAGGTTCCCTCTCACGTGTGTTGACACCAGTCACCCCTCCAGCCCTGAGCAGGGATTCAAGAATGTGCCAAGCATCCCGCCGGCCTGGGCCAGGTGAACCTGTATATAGGGTCTGTGTGCAATAGGGAGGGATGTCTTCTATTTTTTTTTATGTCCCCTTCCGGATGTAGTTGGAGGCGATCAGACCAGCAGGGGAAGGCAGTTGGGAGTGATCAGACCAGCAGGGGAACAGTTAGATGTCAATCAGGCCGGCAGGGGAATGACTAGGGGATGATCAGGCTGGCAGGCAGAAGCAGTTAGGGGTAATCAGGCAGGCAGGCAGGCAGGCAGGCAGGCGCAGGCAGGCGAGTGGTTAGGAACCAGCAGTCATCCCCCGAGGGGTCCAAGATTGGAGAGGGTGCAGGCCGGGCTGAGGGAACACCCCTCCCCCCATACATGAATTTTGTGCCCTGGGCCTCTAGTCTAGAATAATCTCCTTTGTTTAAATGTTTGAGACTAACTGATTACCAACGTTAATTCCATCTACAAAGTTAATTTCAGTTGTTCTGAGAATTAAGTCATGGATATCTTTAGAGAGTGGGTATTATTCTGCCTACCATACCTTGCTTTTACAAAACATTAATATTCTATTCTTTCTAATGAGATTTAAGAAAAGTTAATTCTATTTTTAAACAACTAGAAGAACATTTGCATAATGAATATTTTGAGTTTTCCCACTAAAGGCAGAAATAAGACAACATCTCATATCAATGTTTCTCTCTCCCTCTCCTTTCCTCTCTCTATAAAAATCAATATTAAAAGAATAAATCATATAATATATTGTCTAACCATTATGCTGTATACCTGAAATCAATACAAATAATGCTGAAAGTAAATTGTAATTGAAATATAAAAAGAATTAACCATATTACTTCTTGTGGAGCAATATTCATAAAAATGTTTAAATATGTGTACCATCTGATTCAGCAATACCACTTCTAATAATCTTACAGATATAATACCTTATTGGGGAAAATAAAATTATTAGCATTTATTTTACTGGGTTAAAGAGGTGAAGAGTTTAAGAAGTACAAATTGACAGTTACAAAACAGTCATGGGGGTGTAAAGTACACCATAGGGAATATAGTCAATAATGTTGTAATAACTATGTATGGTGCCAAGCAGGTATTGGAAATATCAGGGGATTTCTGTGTAAAGTATATGATTGTCTAACCAGTCTGTAAACCAATACAAAATAATATTGAATGTAAACTATAATTGAAAAATGTATATCTTAGTAACACTGTTTTAATAACAAAAATTTGAAAACTACTTTAATTATCATAAATAGGGGATAGCTTAATTATGGTTTATACACACAATGAAATAAAAAGCAGTTTTAAACATAATGACATTTTGTGTATACTGATATGGGATATCTACAAGAATACTAAGTAAAAAGCAAATGTAAAATAATGTGTTAAATATACTACCATTTTATAAACAAAAGTAATTAAAAGTGTATCTAAGTTACATCTGCAAGAAAATAACATAAATGGGTACCTATTAGGGATCTGGAGAACTCAGTGGCTAATGGATACAGGTGGAAAGACGATTTTTCTCTAAGTATAACTTCTTATGTTAATTTACTTTGAATTAAGTGAATATATATCTACCAAAAATTAATAAAAATTTATTTATTTTTCAAAAGAAAAAAATAGTGTTTTATTAACTACCACACTGTTATAATATACTTTAAACATACAATAAGCCTTTAAATCTGAGGTGGTCTTAAGAATAAAAATGAACAGAACAACCTAAGATAGGCACAGTCATAGAGGGGCCATCAGGAGAGACTTGGGAGTCAACAGAGGTGGGGCACAGACCTCAACCCCAAGTTTGCAGGGGCCTGAACCCTCACCCCTTCTGAGGGAGTT